CTCGAGAACTCTCGCAAAGGCCGACTTACAACCTCGGTTTTCTGCACGGAAGATAATCCTCTTAGTGATCCCCTCTCCTAAGCTGCGAGGGGACCCAAGTTGGGGCAAGGTAACTCTCTCCTACTCGACATTTCGCCCTCGGTGCGCATCGTCCACACGTCTCGGCCATGAGCCTCCGTGCTCAAGTTTCGGTTTACAAGAACTGAGTTTTTTTTTTCTTTATTAAATTTATACGTGACTCGGTAGCAAAATATTAGTCTCCTGACACCATATTAAATCGTCTGGCAAAATACACACGCACGCACACACACACACACACACACATATATATGTATATATACACATATCGTTTTCTTTTTTGCAAAAAAAAAAAAGGGAAGGCGTTTTTTTTTTTTTTTTTTTTTTTTAAGTTGTTAGTGAAACAACTGCCAAAGCGATAGTAGTTGTTTTCGAACTGTCCTGTGCTCTATACTGCGCCTTTGTCGGTAGCGACTACCATAAAATCCCGAGAAATAGCCCGCCTAAAATCGAGAAAAAATCTGGTAAAAAGAAGGGGTGGGGCTAAATTTCGGTGTGCAATTGAGAAGAGTTGAAAAAATTGTGTATTTAGGGGCATGTGTCTCCGCTAAATTGTTATCGCGGCGATGGGCAATGAAGCAAAGATGACTGTACTTCCCAGTCAGCAGTGTTCGCTAGCTAACTAGACGCATTTTCGCCGAGGTCATCATGGATTCGAACACCACGATTACTAGGGGTGGGCCATCTTTCGGTGTTGAAAAGAAAATAGCAAAACACGCCAAAAAAATAGGGGTGGGTTACCTTTCGGGGGTGGGGCATCTCTCGGGATTTTACAATACTCTACGAATAAACGCCCACTAATTGCACCAGCGTTCGCTCATCGCGGGTTGAGACAAAAAGATGGGAAGGAAAAATCGCTGGTGCTTTAGCAGAAAATAAGTGACCATGTGCAATGGCAAGAGATCTAGAATGGAGCTTTGGGAAGATCACGCGTTGATGTCCACAGATGTAACCTCTGGGTCGGGTCACCTAGAGGTTACTTCTAGCTTGATTTCTACCTTCGATTTCCTTCGTTTGTCAATTACATAACGTCCTACTGCAACAAAATCAGAACGCAAAACAGAGAAACAATAACTAGAAAAGGAGTGGCCCGTCGCAATCAAGTCAGAATGCAAACAAAAAGCAAAGAAAGCTTTATAAATATGTAAAAAATTCAAGCACTTTTTGTTCTAATGCGGCGGCGATTGCATCAATAAAAGGACTTTAATTAAACGGTACATTAAATTTCCAATAATTCTCTCTTCCGCACTGGTATCAGCGATCAGACGAATTGATCATGTTTTAAAGTAAATCAAGTGATAAGGAGTCACTACAATCTAGCTAGAGTGATGCGAATGAAGTTAACCTGATTTAAATCAAATAAATACGATATTTAATAAAAAAATTCTTAGTCATTTATTTTTATTGCGATTTTTTGTGTGTGTGTGTGACAGGACAGTGCAAAATACGTCACAGTAACAAAGAGAAAGAGAGAGGTGCAATTTGAAGGAACCTCCGGTTTAGGACTTCGTTTGCTAACCCTAACACGACGGGTTTCATTCTCCGTGTTCTTAACGACCCATCACTCGAACAAAAGCTCGAACTGAAACAAAAAGTCAATTCACAACACTCTAATTAAGACTGACTGCAGTTGCCGCATTCGTCTTCGCCTAAAGCGTCCGAAGTTCGCGAGTCGAAACAAAACAAAAAAAAGACGCTCGTCAAAGTTCCGCAGCGAACGGACGACGACCGCAAGGCACCGGATGACAGTGACAGCTCAACCGCAGAGACGAGTCACCGGCGACACAATGAGAGATAGATGCTCCCTGTGTGTGTATGTGTTCCGGGATCACTTCCGGCCTGGGACTTCGTAACGACAACAAGCGCACACTTCCGGCAAGCGCGAGTTTCGGTACAGCTCGGTGCAAGAGATTCGAGAGCACGCCGACGGCTGCGCTACATCATGTAGGTCACTGAATGTTCTAGAGCAGGGCCCCTCCAAACGTTCTGGCTAAGGACCGGATTAGGGACCCGTCCCAGTCTCGAGACAACATAAATGCCCAAATACTATGCGGAGCGCAAGTTCATCTGCCACTATCACATGGGTTGCAGTGACGTCAGAAGCCGACAACAAGAATAACAAGAAGCAGACGACTTGCTCTACGCATAACCTGTTTTAACCTCAAGAACCGTAGTAAAAAAAAAAGTCCGGCTCTTGGCGGAGCTATACTAATATTCCCCTTTCAATAGACAATTAAGGCAAAGTTTAGATTAGATATATGTTATCTTACCAAAACGTACACGTTTCAAACGCTAAAAGTATCGCTCCTTGCTCCGACAACCACATCCTGTAAGAACTACATCGCGCAGCGGATGAACAATGCGCAAAAATTTCTTTTTTCTTGAGGTGAAAATGAGTATAGATATATACGCCTAAATAACCATTCAAATACAAAAGTTTAAACGAGAGAGAAATTAAAAAAAAAGTGTAACGGTGGATGAATACATATGCGTACTTTATTTTTAAATGCCATACGTTGCTGATTGACATTCAAAAATACTTGTGACCCTGCAGAGAGCTCACCGGGTATAAATCACAGCGCATATGAACGTTGGCATATTTACACGGGACAGAAGACTAATGAGAATGATGGATCTGATGACAATATATATGCATGCGAGAGTTATGACAAAGATCATAGTTACACAGACATAAAACAAGAAACTACGAATAGCGATGTTGGTGATTATGACCTACAAGAAATAATATGGCGAGAACCCGCGTTTTGGCGCGGATTTTCTCATACTTTTTGACAACTTCGCTCACGCATGTAAACCGCGTAAAAGCGATTTTTTTTTCTTTTTTTTTTTCTTTTTTTTCTACGTGTTAATGTTTGTTTCTTGTAGCAGCGGGCCGGCGGGCCGGGCATCGCAGGAAAGACAGCTGACCATTCCCGGGGTTTGGAGATCCCTGTTCTAGAGTATCGCATTCCAAAATAAACGTTGTACCTGGAGGATCGAGTCAAGCCGGCTTTCTAATTGATTCATGTCGGCCATTTCGAAGCAGGGAAAAAAAGAAAAAAAAGCAGACCCAGAACGTTATGATCATAATGCAATTAATACAAAGGTGCAAGCTAGCTGGACAAGAATAACGATACAAATCTCCGGAGAAGGGGAACAAGGGCGACGAAGGACAAACACAAATCTCCAAACACAGCTGTGACTGGTGCGCGACTGAAAAAAAAATTCGCCTGGTCCCAAGGAGCTGATCGGTCCGAAGCAGACAGCCTGATAACCGTGCCAGTTTTCGTTAACACAGTCAAAACTGTTTATGTATCGTACGAGAGGCACGCAGTGTTGGTTGCAGACATGATGAGAGAACTATCTGCGGAAACATCTCAAGCACGTTCGAAGCACACTTGCTTTTCATACAGTGTTGGGAAGTGCTTTAAGTACACTGTACTTAAAGCACTATTTTATGTACGTTTAGAAAACTTGAACTTTACTTGAAGTACATTTTCTGAATATGTACTCGTACTTAGTAGTTTTTTTTGTTTTGTTTTTTTGTGAGCAATTAAGTATGACAGGCTGAGTTTCGAAGACTCTCCCATCAGTACGGGATTACGAGGTCTGCTTTTGACAGCGTCAACTGGAACCAAGAAAGGAGCTTGCTGATTGGTTGCTGGCAGCCATGCTGACGCCCCCCGATCAGCCAATCACATGGGAGCTTTCCCTAAACAGCCGTACGATCTGCGTTATTTGATTGTGCCTCAAACTATACCTCGAATCACGCTGTTTTAATAATCTAGCTTTCCTGACTCGCACTGCCCTGCCTTGCATAATGTATGCACGGCGAAAGATGACCAGAGCTAGTGCAGGGAAATCTGAGGAGCACTTTCCCACGGCCTCGAACTTCCCCTCCCCACTGTTAAAAGCATTTTTTTTTTTTTATGAAAGCTTTCGCTATTTGTAAGGTTACCCCTATCGTGGCTACCAACGGACGTAAATTACGGCGTCCAAAAACAGCACAACCGGTTTGCGTCGACGATAGCGACCGACGCGTTCTGCTTCGCCTACTTCCTATCAGCTGGGAAGGCTGGAAAAGATCCACGCAGTAAAATGTGTCCCTCCTAGATTTCTCGCTAAAATGGCTGTTTAGATTTCCATGTCACGCCAGGGGTCATTCGGACCAAATGAACTTTTAATGTCGCCTGATTAAACGGGCAATAAAAAGATGCGAAAGAGCACTCGTAAATACCGCCAATAGCTACGAAACCGAGGCACAACCACTTTCTTCTGGGACGACGTACGAAACTAGGACGGTAAAAGTGAGGGTCCGCTTGGCTCAGCAACGGTGCCAAAATTTGCATAAATGATCGCGCTGGATCGCCCGTTAGCCGCGCTCACTTTGTTTGTACAACGCTTTCGCCCGACTGCTAGCTGTTGCAAGATTCAGTGGCAGGTCAGACTGGTGCACTCGGTTGACGATAAACAAACAAAAAACGCGAACGAGCAAGGTAGGTAGGACGGTTCCCAAAGTTTCGAAACGCACTTTGGTACTCTGATGAGAAGAGCTTTCAAAAAACACTTGGAAGACTTTTCATAACAAGCTCGCGAGAAACGAAACGTACACCGCTTCAACTTTTGTTAGAAATCGCTTGCACTTTTCTTGCGTTAATTAGAAGGGGGAAAAAAATAATGAAATATTGGTTAATTACTGATTGACTACAGCTTCGGAAACTTAAAAGTAACAGTGACGAAGCGCTCGAGTTTTTACCTTTTTAAAGCGCGCAACCGCAGTTCACCCAAAGATATTCGCGCCGGGAAAATCGGGGTAGGACAACATACTGCACTCAAAAAAATACTGGCCAAACAATCAACCGTTGTCGGAAAAACAGTTGCCGAAAACGTCCCGACGAGAGCTGTTTTCCGGCACAACTTACCGTCGAAGTACTGATATCTGGTCCTGGGATGTCGAAGTCCGAGGCACGGATCAACGAGCAGCGTCGCTGCCATGAGGCACAGCACGACGATCGCCGAAGACGACTTCATAGTTGCGGCAGAGTTCACCGTTTTGCCGTTACTAGCGGCCACAGGCCGGCAGAAACACAGTTGCCGTGGTGGTGAAGACACCAAACTCTCCGCGGCCACAACACAAGCAAACCGGTCTTGTCAGTGTTCAAAGGGCACTCGACGGCCTTTTATAAGACGACACTTTTTGTTTCTTTTTTTACTCGCCCTCGCCGACAAGGAGGAGGAGGGCATAGAGGGGGTGGGATAAAAGTTCGCGAGCATTTATTTAGATATTTTTTTTTATATTTGCGAAGAAGCACCATTTGCAGCCTATGACACCTGTAAAGTGATCTGCAGTGACCGCCGTGCTAACAGTGTGCAAAAGAAAACCTTATGCACTTCGTACTACTACGGATACTTAAAAACAAGATAACATTTTTGTGCTAATAAAGGACACCAGGGGCGGGAAAGGCGCTGGTGTCGGTTGCGACTCGCTTTGGAGCAGACGACTTTTCTTAGGGTGTTAGTGGTATTGGTTAGCGTCTCTCTGCTATTGTATTGAGTTAATCAATTCTAACGAGTTGGTCTCGTCAACGACGTTAGGAAGGTTACGTACTCCCTCTATAATATATAAGGGAGTCTTCGTAGATTGTTTTCGCTGTCCCGTAACGCTCTCCGCAACCCGCTACGATATCCGTAACTCCAGTCAAGGCCATCGGCGCGCAGGCGCAGTGGTGGCTTCTTCGTTGCGGAGGGCTTAGCGGAGGGGGAAACGCGGTCTACGAAAACTTCCTATTGTTAAGAAGGTTTCGTAGACCGTGTTCCCCCCTCCGCTAAGCCCTCCGCAACGAAGGAGCCGCCACTGCGCCTGCGCGCCGATGGCCTTGGCTGTGGAGTTCCGGGTATGGTAGCGGGTTGCGGACAGCGTTGCGCGAAGACGAAAACGATCTACGAAAACTCCCTAATGGCCGCTGACGTTAACGAGATGGGTTGAAAAATTATTAAACCGACAGCAAAAGTTCGATTTCGCAAAATATTCATTTGAAATAAAGGGGGATCGGTGACCGAGTTGACTAGATAGAGCACACCAGCTCGCGCTGCAGATCCCAGGTTCAATCCCCCCACCCCTGCCCGTTTCTATCTGGATGAGCATCGTTCCGGCGTGCGGTCGTGTATCTCTACTGCGTGGTGCATGTAAAAGATCCCAGGCTAGCGGTCGTACTGCACTGGTTAAATTGCTCATCTGCAGCTGAGAGGCAGACCAAGTTCAGGCTGTATAAATATACATACCTTTTTTTTTTCTACTTTAAGATACAAAAGGGTAAAAATATTTTGCTTTGTGAACTTATGAATGGGGAAGCTTCAGTTAAAAGAAATATATTTATTTGAGCTGTCCAGACCATTCCACTGCTTGTCAAGGCAATGAAACAATTGCTGCAATCATTACAGCATCTGATGAATCTAAAAACGAGAAAAATCGATTCAGTTATACATTCCCTTCTTGATGGTCCTTTCTTGGTGAAACCTATTGCAGCCCAATATTTATTCGAAAGCAAATAGAAGTTTGTTCCTAAAATAATATAGCCCTTAAAAAGCAAATAATAAATTATAACACTCACCTCTAACAAGATGAATTTGTAGACATGGCTAACAAGAAAAACACAACACACTGTTGCATCAAACTTTACCTTTTCCTCCCGGACATCTCCACCGAAACAGAATTGATTTTGATTGGTTCGACTGGCTTGGACATCAGTAGCTAGTCTGTATCCAAACTAATATTAGCATTACGCTCATAAAAGATACAAAAAACATTAATGGATGAACTTGCAAAAAAATTCACAATCTAATACCATGGCACTTGGAACAAAGTACTTCATATCAGCCTTCGAAGAACTTAAGCAAAGTTGTACCAAACGTGGCTGGAAGATACCAACTATACTGATGCAAGTAAATTAGGATCACTTCTAATTTCTTTTCTAAACAGTTAAGTAGTTCAGCTGCTTCAAATGCAGTTAATTGACACCGAACTGCTGAAGAGACTGTGGCCATTCCAACGAGTGATGTTAGTAACCTCTTACAATTACAAACACTCATACTCAAAAAACAGTTTAATGAGTTTGCTTGACACCATAATTTATCTTATAATTTCTGCAAAACAAAATGAATGGGAAAAAATAGTACAGAAGCACTAATTGTGCACAAAAGGGACAATCAAGGTGTCTGCAACCAATGATTACTACTATCTAATTTAATCACTTTAATAAATAGCTAAATTAGCCACATGATCACTCAAAGAGAGGAGTGATGAAATAATGATCAACTTACCCTTAAAAGTAAGCCATTATGTGAAATATCTAACTAGTGCCTCTAACACATACCAAACAAGTCTGGAGAACCTTGAAGGCACAACAAAACCATGCAAATCTGACCATCCCGTCACAAGGAATGATGCACACCGGTCTACCCGTTCACAACAACCGCCAGTGAAACAGGTCAGTTTATTTGAGGCAAAGTGACAGCTCCGTGTCGTTTACGGTTCCTCCTGCCTTTCCCCAGCTTCTATACAGTTACATATACACGTGTAAATCTCTTATGTACACTCCCTGACGTTAGGTTCACCCTTTCCCCCATTTAAAATCCCGGCGAAGCAGCTCGGGTGGACGAAATGCGTGCATGCGGGCGCTGTGTCCAAACTTGGGCGTGGCTTGAGCGGTGGCCGCGTTTTCTCCGTTCTGCAGTTTGGCATTCACTGTTTCGAGTTTATCAGCTCGTTGATCTGCAAGGAGAAAACGATCCAGGTGCAGTTATTTTGATGTGACGTCTCACCCGAAGGGATGTATGTACGGAAACACTGTGCAATGAAAACAGACCTCTCTTTCGCCGCATTCAAACTAGCGAGTGAACCGCATTCGCAAAGCGGTTGTAAACGTGGTTGCTTAAAGATGCAATACAAATTCACGCGCAGTTGATAATGAAAACGAGCGGACCTGCTTCGCGGTTGCAATTCGAACGCCAGGGTGAATGCAGCCTAAAAGAGCCTACTGTTCTGTGACTAGACTACAAACCAGAAAGTATTTGTTCTCATCTTCTTACATAGTCACTGTTCTTGACTCAATGCCTCACTCAGTTGAAACATGCCCATTCACTCCCGTTCTGCGCAGGTGCGGGGTGAAACGGTGCTTTCAATGAGACGTCTGAGTGCGTGCTCAGTAGTTTGACTCTCTGTTGCTAGCAAACGTGTCGTTCGCTTGATCTCTTTCTGGTATCATTTCACAGTTGATTAAACATACACTCCACAATAGGTGCTAACGTATAACTTGTCAGAATAATGTGTCACTAATTCGGCATAAAAGTTGAAACTTGAGCCTAAGATTGACCGTCGAAGCCTCTTTCTCCATTCCTATTGTATACATGTCGTCGAAAGGGCAAACATAGACAGACCTCATCAAGCCGAACATGACGCTGAAGAAGTGCATCGTCTTGGAGAACCTAAACTAGTGTTCAAAGAGTAAAATGCTTCACATGGGGTTGGAGACAGTCGAGGAAATTCGGGAGCTCTGGGGAACCCCTCGGGGACCTCTGGGAAGCCCCTCAGGGATCTCTGGGAAACCCTTGGGCTCCAAGGAACCCAGCTGCAGAGCCCATAATCTATAGAAATGGTATACATGCATCATTGTCACGTACAGTAATCCCTCGCTATACCGAAGTCAACGGGTTGGCAAAAAAATTTGATATAAGCAGTAATTCGATAAAAACGACAGAGTAAAAAGAACAGTGCCAGCAGCCTTTCAAGTGGACGGGAACATTGAGGAACACTCTGACCGTATATGTAGTCAAACAAACCTTGGTCATGAGCAACAAGTGGCAGAGCCACCGAGTAAAAAAAATAATTAAGTGGAGTTTGCCGGTAATTTAATCCGGGCACCAGTTCTCCTCGAACCGCTCCAGGCATCGCAAGAACACTGTCATTGCCGCTGAACTTCACTTTGTTTCGGAGCAGCCATAGGATGTTTTGCATTTCCGCAATCGTCAGCGTTTCTGCAATCGTCGGCGATGCAAAGGTGCGCCTCTGTGTAAACTTGCGTGCTTTCGGCACCTCGGCCTTCGTAATAAGCGTGGTCGGCCGCCGATACAGATAAAATGATCCGATTCAAAATGCATGGATTTCGGTCGGGACCACGTTGAACATTAAAAAAAAGCGACAATTCGAAGAAAGTGATTTGATTATAACGAGGGATTAGTGTATGCCACTGTTTCAGCTACCGGTGCCCGGCGCACCCACCTGCGCCTTGTACATGGACTTGACGTCTTCCAGATCCAGGCGCAGCTCCTCGGCCTCCTCCACCTTCTCCCCGTACATCTGGAGCAGGGTGTTGTATTTCTGGTTCGTCTCCTGCAAAGGGAAAGCGTGCACATGTCCCACATAAACACGGGCACCCTTACAAAGAGTCGAAACTTTAAATGAAGGCACGCTGAGGGTTAAACTTTATCGTACCAGAAACTCAGAGACGTCAATAGCTTGTCAAGAGTCCACAAAGTCAGGGACGGCACCAAGGGGAGGCGAGGGGTGGCGGGCACCTTTCCTAAAATTTTTTCTGCTACCCCAAGATGAAGGAGCTTTGTATACAAATAATTGCCTACGACGTCGGCTTGAAAACCCAGTGTAACGAGTGTCCAGACTTTAGAGCCGTTCATGCCTTTTTCTTTTTTTTTTTTTCTATTAACTTCCAGCCACTGGAAGTCATACTGCAGGCGAGTAAGCTATCAAGCGCTTTAGAAAAAGCAGCTCCCCTTTGTGACGCCTGCTGGCTTTTCTCTCCGTATTCAACTCTGTGGTGCTTATCTTGAGCGGAGACCGGAGACGTGAACGAAGGGGAGAATGGGGAATTCCGGACTGTCTCAGAAAGGGAAGCAAAACCTGGTTGTGAGTCTGAGCACAGGGGGGGCAGAGGTCGCTGCTGTGTAACCCCCCCCCCCCCCTCCCCCCCCTTCCTCTTCCTTCTCGTGTCTCCACATTTCCCTTTTCAATGAGCACACCGCACAAGCTATCTTCAATAAGCCCGTGGGCGACAGCACCTCAAACTCTAACGAGAAGGTATGAAGAATACAGAATAAATAAACACAAATTTATTAGTTTCAATTATACTTAAACAAAAAAAGTGACGATATCCATTCCCGATTTTTTTCGCATTGTAGTGACGTTGCGGTTGGTGATCGCTGGCAATTGCAGCCGTGTGGTCGGCAGTTTCCGCTGAAAACATCACACTGTGCCGTGGCATTACACCCATCATAGTTTCCCGGCTAAATTGAGCATATGGTTGTCTCATGAACTGTTCCCGATGTGCTCGCTATTTTAGCAGACGGATATGCTGCTGTGGTGGACGTTCATCCGTAGTTGGTTGGTTTCGGAACAGGCCACTCTTGGCTAGCAGACGACAGCTGGTTCCTCCAAGCCTCGTGCCTTGCATTTGGCATGGTGACACAAATGCTCCCGTGACATCGGGTGACGTGCCTCACTCCGACGCTCTTATTGGGTTGCGGGGCCCTAACATCTGCAGTTCGCCAAGTTATCGTGAAACAGTGTATAAGGACAAGCACATCGCGGGCCGTGAGACCTCTCTCGCTATCTGCACGTCGGTGAGACATTCTCGCCAAAATACCGTATTTACTCGATTCTAAGCCGGCATCGATTCTAGGCCGACCCCGCAAAAACGGCAGGGCCGAAAAAAAAAAAAAAAATTCTCGATTCCAGGCCGACCAAAACGTATAGGAAAAACACCATAAATTAAACACAGAACGCAATTTATCTGCAATGTACAGCACTACTTCGGTCACGAATCCGACGGTATGCTCAATGTTAATGTCCGCATTTTTCCTGATCATTCGTCGTCCTCTTTGTCACTGTCCATTTCCCACAACGCGTGGTCATCCGTACCGTCCAGGGCATTCGAGATGCAACACTTTCGGAACGACTTTACTACCAGTTCCGTTGGGATGTGCTGCTGCTCTTTGGGCCCTGATGAAGTTTGCGACCTTGATCTCCACCTCGTGGTGCCTTCCCTTCCGCGGTCCTGAGAACGCCATTCTTGTTGCCGCACATGCAAGGAGCTGACCACGCTGCTTTCTCCAGCGACGCCCATTTTTTTCGTCCACGCCGAAGTCACGCTGGGCTTGCAGGTTGGACGAGTGTTCAGCAGCCAAGACAACTTTCCTCTTAAAAGCCGCAAAGTAGTGGCATCGACTGGTCGATGCCATAGCGTCGAGTAGAGACAAACGTTCCGTGCGTTCCGTGGTACACAGCGTATCTTCCCGAAGCGATGTAGACAAGATGGCGTCCCGCGGTCATGGCGGAGCCAGATCTTCGTATCTAGGCCGACCCCCGAGTTTCGGATTTAATTTTTTTGGAAAAACTATCGGCCTAGATTCGAGTAAATACGGTATTACTGGATTGTGAGTCAAAAATATCTCATTGGCTGACCACGCGCAACCCGCGGCGCAACGTCCGATCGACAGCCAAGAATGCTCTTGCTCTTGCCTCGACTGTGGTGCCTGGAACGCGACTTCAACTAGTCTGTTTACCGCGTTCAAAAAAGTGGTCCCTCAATTTCTGCCTGGTGACGTTGTAAAAGTGTCATGTTGTCGCCGGTCGCGATCCCGGCGGTGTTCCAGCGGTGGTGGCGGAAGTAGCAGGCATCTGTTCTGCTGCAGGTCGCTCTCTGGTGTGACAGTTCACGGAAGCTTTGGCGGCCAGAAGTTGGGACGCCATGATGACAGCGACACTCGCATTTACTCGTGCTTTTTGCATCAATTCTACGACCAACTGCCAGGATTGCGACATCCAACGGCATGACACTTCGGCTTCTGCAACGTCATTTGTTGCCACTTCGGGACCACTTTTGATGTATGGGCGGGATAAGACACTAAACGCACCAGTCGGAGACTCGTTCCAGGAACCATACCTCGACCAAAGTCAGACCCCTGGGACCGCAACCCGCTGCATGCGTGGGCCTGGGAGACGATAACACTTGCCGAACTTACCTCATATAGCTTCCTGACCCCCCTGAGCTCCTGCAACTCCTGCTCCCACTGCTCGTGCTTCCCGGCCAGCGAGATGAGCTCCTGGGAGAGCGACTCCCGGCACCGCTCCAACTGCCCAATCTGGCCCTGGACACAAAAAGACATCATCAAAAATCAATCGCCTTTATCCCATGCATGAAGTCAGAATGAGGCAGAATGCGGACTTGAGGGGCGCTGCTATAGCATGACACAATATTTTGCCGCTAAATTTATCGGATGGTGGTCACGTCACACCAACTCTGTGATCGCATCACGTGACACCACTTACATCGTGTTGCGACGTGAGACGTCCTCAGACACACGTGACACTGGAACATCATGTTAAGTGTTCACGAGACACTGCGACATCGAGTTATGTGGTTACACGGCGCTGTGATGTCGTCACGTGACCACGTAACCTGGCGTGGCACCAACCACGTGATCACTGTACGCTCGCGTCGTCACATTTTCCTTGTCGTCTTTTGTGACGTTCTGGACTTGGAAACCGGCTCGTGAAAAATGATGATGATGAAGAAGAACGAAGTTGCCAGCTAAGCCAGCAGGTTGCTCGTCGTGGCTAGGGTGCCATATTTTTCGTTTACACCAATAAATCCCCAAAAGGTGACCTCGAGCCAGTTTCGTCAAAATCGGTGAGAACCAACAAAAACCCCAAATTGGAGCTGCCCTTAAATGGGAAAAACCCAAGCTTCACGGAAAGAAAATCGTTATCTACGGCTTTTTTATGTGTCCACTCTGAACGCGGCCCCAACTGAACTGTCCGCGAGGCCGCCTCTTCCTTCTCGTCTCGCTTCCTTTTCTCATCGGTTTTAGACGCAACTCCGACAAACGCCCATTTCGGGTCCGACGCCAAAGATCAACACTGAAAAATGCTGAATCTACGGGAAAAAGTAGGCCTGGTAAAACACTCCCAATTCAAAGAAAAATTGCCCCAAAACACAAAGCCCATATCGTTACTTACTATGCCAAAAGACACAAACGAGAAGGAGGAAAAGGCAGATGAGAAGTCTAGAGTTACGCTGTGTCTAATTCACCTCTTCCTCCTGCTTGTCTGTGTTTTTTGGCATCATACGTTACGATAATTAAGGACAACGTGTAGAGTCACCCTAATCTACAGCGTGGGAAACGAGGGAAAACAACGGCGGGGGAGCAGGGCCTAAAGAAGAAGCAAGCTCCGCTAATACTGAGTTCACAGTGCAGATGCACACTTTTTCTATGTTCTTTGTTTAGTTGCGTACACTGGCACCTTTCTTCTCCATTTTTAAACTAAACAGAAGCATGTCAAATCCAGTTATGAGGAAAAGTGCCCCAAGCAAGTGTCAGGGCCAACAAAACATACTGACAGACGGAACCATAGAAAGAGCTCTAAATTTACTCTATTAGAGGTTACAATTTTATAGAAGTATGTTTGTTTTTATCAAATCTAATACATATTCTTCCAGGTTTCTCCCACTCGCTTAGCACTCATCTCGCAAGTGTGCACGCAAGTTCCCACAAAAAACGGGATGCGAGGGTTCATTGAGACAAAATGACAGAACAGCAGAGATGCACCTCTAAACGGAACTGTCCGGTCACCCCAGCCACATGGCACATCAGTACCAACGGCCACACTACGACGTTTGAGCGCACATAAACCTCCCGAGAGGCTACACCTAGGCGTCCCGAGAGGCCTTCCTCTCGAGAAAAAGCTTGCGCACGGCCAAGAGAGCCTACCTGCAGGTGTCCCACCTCCCCTTCCCGCATCTTGAGTTGGGACTGGAGCGACTCGAGCAGGGTGCTGCCGCCGAACCCGCGTAGGCTCTCGTACACCGACGACACCCGGGGCGTGCTCGCCGCGGAGTACGGGTGGCCCAGGTCCTCGGACAGCTGCGGGAGCAAGCGGCACGGGCGGGATTCGAGAGTTGGCCACACCTTTTGTCACACGTCGTACGCATTCGTCGACGCCAACGTCGGAAAAGGGAGTCCCGGCAGTTTTAACATGCTATGTGTGTTATGCATAGTGTGTTATACATAGTGTGTTACACATAGTGTGTTAAAAAAACACTGAAAATAAAAAAAAAAATTTTTAAAAAGCCTAAATGGGATACGTTTTTTTTTCAAGTTTATCTTCAAAGAAAAAATTTTTGAAGCAATATTTGCGTTGTTAGACGCAATTTAGGTGGAGGGTAGCCCTACTCTAGGCTCCGCCCAATGCTTACAAAACTAATACCCAATTCATACGGCAGCGTAAAGGTACCTTTAGCTTAGGCCCCTTAGCTGAAGGTACCTGTAGTAAACAACGTTCTTGGTCACACGATAAATAAACGGAGCACTTTTGATGTCGATTGCATTCCTGCTAAATTGCGAGGAGCACGTGATAAACAATTATTCCTCGAAATCTGTTTGATGCGCAGTTTTTGATTATTGTGTGTGAAATATCACATTTAAATGCTAAATATTATTTCTGTTTGCTTTTGCGGCACTTTGTTTATTTTTTCTCTAAGTCTAAAGACGCACCTAAATGAGTCTTTCTTAAAAACGTCCAACCCGTCTGGCCACACTGGCTCTAAATAATCTGCATTTACCAGTTTCCATTGCGAGGTGGGCGACCTTTTGCTGTTTAGGAGCTCCATTTTTCTGCAAAGTTCTCACTGAAGTAGCTAAATAGTGCCCGGCAGAAACGAACCACGTCGGGGTCTCACGGTTACACCAGTCACGCCATCGAAAGGGATGGACGACGACGAGGATGAGAGGTCCCGGGCGGGAGAGTCTGACGACTCGTCTACAACCTTGAAAAAGAGCTCGCAGTGGTCCATCGCGTTCGGGTCTGTAGCAGACACTATTGTCCACGTGCCGCCGCTGCTACCTGCTAGCTGGAGTAGGCGTTCCTTATTAATGTATTATTCGATCCCATTTGTCTTCAGAATCATTTCATAATTTGCTTCTTGTATATCTTGTATATGTTCAATTTGTTATAATGCATTAAACGAGACATATTTATATATCTCTGATTTTTATTTTGAGTTCATGGGTCCGAGGTCACTCCCTGTAGCTGTAAAGGGAGCTTGGCAAACTCCGTTCAGCACAGGACCTCCCTTAGCGAAAAGGACCTTTGTGCATTGTGCGAGTATGATCTCCAGCTCCCTTTACTACAGGTGCCTGTGCTAAAGCTACCTTTACGCTGCCGTGTGAATTGGGTATAAGCACCTTTTCTCGGCTTTCATTGGTTAGAAAGATGATCGACGTGTGAAATGTTTGTTGTAAAATAGTTTCTTCGTGCCATAATAGTTTTTTTAATGGACAATATTTTTTTATGTTTGAGAAACAAATAAACTAGGACAATCTCTTCGATTGACTTAGTTTCCAGCAAACAACTGTCGCAAGTACACGTCTCCGGAAACGTCAGAAGCGCCGTGCGGGTGCTTGGGTTCGTAGCAGGACTGGACTAAGCCTAGCGTCCCCTTGTTCATTATGTTGCTTGATCTGACTTGATTTGTTCCTTTGTGTGTCTTGATGCTGAGTAAAGAGGTTGGTTCCTGCAAAAGCGGCCCAACCATGGTTTAATACCGAGAAGGTACCCACCTACGCAGGTAAGAATTGGCGAGCCATTTGGCTGGAGGCAATCGGGCATTAGTTTGTCTATGTTCCCGCCATTTCACTTTGAAATGCAAGTACCTCTGAAGTGTTGCAGTGCACCTGGCCAACCAAAGCGACTATTTTTACGTCGCGTTTTATTTGTGCGTCGTAATGCTAACCCAGGGGCGGATTTAGAGAGGGGTCCGGATGTCCTGACCCCCATCTTGACTTCTGCATGTGTAAAATTTAGGGCGTAAAATGAAGGAGCGGGGGAGGGGGTTCCTAAACATATGGTACGCTGACCAACACCTAACCCCCCGCTCAGGAAATTCCTGCATCTGCCCCTGTGCTCACCCACCTTGCTCGCGGATGCCATATGAAAAAAATAACACGAACGGTAAAGCTGGAACAGCTGCATATTTATTTTGTTGATTTTTTAAAATTTTCTCGGCCCCTTATAACGGAGTTTTAGTAGACGTTCCGATGGCTACAATAACGATATCCAATACTGCGCCGACGCCTTTGCCCATGCTCCGTACTGTATCAGGTATCGTTATCTGAAGTACCTGAACGATCTATTAAAACTCTCTACTACCGCACATCGATAGAGGCTGACAGACGTTTGTATTGGACCATTATTTCATGCATTTGGAACGCTAGAAGGCTGCTTTCCTGGTGGCGCGTCTCACGCGTTACAGAAGTTTTTAGATGGGGGCAGAATAGCAGATGGACAGAGGCAAAAACGGATGCCAATGCACAGCTCTCGTGTCAGAGTTTCACAGGCACTGCAGACGACGATAGACGGTGGCAAAATAGCAGACGATGCTGAAGGCTGCCGCGCACCTGCTCGCACGACTAGCAGGCAGTGTCAGGTGCCAGACTAGACGCACCAGACATCGCGAAAGGGAGACACTAGGCTCCTTAGCGTGTTCAGCCGAGCAGCCAAGCCAATGCAGTAGTGATGGGCGGGGTCACCGATCTGTGGGCGGGGCTTGGAGCATGCCGTGACTTTCACCTAAGGGGCGTCTAATGGCTTAAATATTGCACGAAGCTTTGCTTTTATTTCGTGGTAAAATTATTTTTAAAAATGTGTCCCATCCATGACCTTTAAAAAAACTTTTTTTATCTGTTTATTTTTTTTTATTTTAGGGTCTTTTTAACGGGGTACAAAAATGAAAATTGAAATATCCCCCTAAACACTTTGAGATGGGTGAAATACGATCCATGACATCCGTAAATGATAATCACAAGCGTGCATTTTCAGTGGATGGCTGTATATTTCGTTCCAACCAACTGATTCTGGCACATACTTCAAAAAAGGCCAATGAGTCGGCGCGATGCGTCTCAGAGTACTTGCCCGTGACGTTACACTCGTACCGTAACGAACACATAAACGGCCCAGGGTACCGTAATTATGATCGTCGTCACTTGGTGGCGCCAGCTTCATCGTCAATGCATTACAATCCAGCCAAGTGGGAATACCCGAGTTACAGGTGTACTGGAATTGAGAGGTGTGCCAAGCACCGCTCGCTCCCAGGCGCCTTCTTCCAACACAGGCGTGCTGTGGTGCCGCTACCTATCGGTCCGTGATGTCAAGCATTCCAACAAAGCTCGGTACGCCAACTACCAGGCGACATTAGAAAATCATTTTATTTGTTTTAAAATTGCTTTTCTTGCGTTTATGAACAAAAGCCTGGTGTTTCTGCACTGCTGTCATAAAAAAGACGTCTACACAAAGAAATAGGCACTAAAATTTTGCTTCTGTACCCCTTTAATGGTAATCGAACCTTTCGCCCCACGATTGTGAGCCACAGTCTACCACCGCACCAACTAGTGGGCAGACGCAAAGCTAGCTGGCTTTGTGTCCTTTACCGCGGTATGTCTACTAACTGTTCGCACCCAAGGCCAGCGTTCGGTGTTCGGCGTTTTGGCGTTTGGCGTCCGCAATCTAACAGTTTATGGGAAGAAACAACGAATTCGAGACGTGCCCGCCGTCGCATAGAAAAGGACACGCATTCTGTGTAGTATACCGAATTCGGTCTTAGGATCAAGATAAATCTAGCATTTTTACGGCGACAGCTACTACGGGGACTTCCCAGCCGTATTTGTGGCATCGGCGTTGTGCCCAGCAGAAAACTCAGTTTCACGTGACGGCAAGCAAAGCACCTGCACTAGATTCTTGCCAGGCAGTAGTGTCTTCTACGGTTGGCAAGGAATGCCACCACGCACTCCTCACTACAGAACTCGATTTGCGTGAACTACAGGATGTAAAGCAGCCCGCCACTCCTAACGGCACCCGATTTAGTCTTAGGCAGGGACGCTGGCCCGTATGTGCAACGTGTTCCCTTTCTTACATAGTTCTGTGACCACCAAACTGTGTTGCATGCCAGTGAGTGGAAAATAAAAAGTGGATGTGCATACAAGTGGGCATTGCTAGGCGAAATAACAGCCCAATCGCTGTTACTTCTTCGCATACTGTGACGAAAAGCTGCGGATTTCTTTCACGGTCATTGATTTGCCCCAAAGATTGGTTCAAAACGTCAATAGATGCAGCAAATAACCAAAATAGCAAACAAAAATTAATATCTTTTTGCTGAAAGCCTTTGTTGGAATTGGCACTTGAATTTCATGTTTCTCAAAGATTCTTGGAGCAATGTCCCATACTATACGCCAAAATAAATGTTAAAGCCGACCTTACGAATGAATGCCTAAAGCAATGTCCCAAATGCAGACTCAAACTAAAGTTTCAAATCGACGCCGACACAACGCATAGTTGGGAGTAATGCCGACCTGAATGTCGAAGCTCGCACACAGGAGCTAATGTTAACAAGAAACTGTAGCTTGCAGAATGTTAATGTTACGTAGCTCATGGAAGTGACCACACAACAAAATAAAACCAATCTTTAAAGCCAATGTAAGAATCAATATCAACAAACCAATGTTGGATACAATATCCAACTCTGAAAATCTCAAACACCACCGTGTGTTGTCAACAATATTGAAATCATCAAAGTTCCCAACAAACAATTAAGCAACAGCTTCAACAACCCTCAAATTCGTTCATCATTTGGACAGCTCTTGTAACCAGCACGTCTAACAGTAGAAATTCCAGTGCAGTAAGCACGAACAGACACTGCGAGTCAAAAATATGGTCCCGAACTGAAACTGAACTTGGGAGTAAAATCTCGCTGCTGTACTCACGTTGCAGTTGAAGGTGTCACTGACTGAACTGTACTGCGACACGGTCGGCGAAGGGGTGGCAGAGCTCTCCCTCCGCTTTTCCCGCTGCGTAAAACGTTGACCACGCAAACAAACTTTGATAGCAACACTTTGCACCAAAGAACATCCTTTTCACCACATCATAAAACGTCTGTTAGAAATGCGCCCGAGAGGCTGCTCAGAAGTATAATGGCAGAACAAAGAGCAAACAACGACTCACCTCCGCTCTCAGTTGCCCTTCAAGAAGAGTCGTCTTGTGCACTTCACTCTCGAGTTCCTCTTGAACCGCGCGAAGCTGCGTCGACAGCTCCTCCTGCAGATCAAATGGGAAGAGTGTCACTCAAAGTGCCTCGGCGTCCTGACAACGCCCCACTTAAACAGACGATTCCCGACCCTTACAAAGTCAACTGCGGGCAAATAAATAAATTATGACTATTATCAGAGGCTGTAGTTCTTTTTGATAGAGCCGGAAGTGCCACAAACAGAGCAAAAAACAATTTAAGTGCACGCACAGCAGTACACTCTCCTTGTTTTGATTCTGGGAGATTGACTCCCATATCCAAGTGCACTAATTTTGCGACAAACTACGCTTTGAATTTAAACATAAAAATAGCTAACTTGGGTGAATTTGTTAACAACCTAGCAACATTGCAGGACTAGTGGCCATAGGCCGCTGCACTTTTCAATGAGGAGGCACAAACACTGTAACAAACTGGGGCTTGGTGCATTACCTTTTCTGTTCGAAGCGTTTTCAGGGACTGCTCCAACCTCGTCTTGATGGCTTCGAAAGTTGCCTCTCTGCATTCACAAAAGTTTTCCAAGACAAACATAAATTCCAGTAAATACTCCGGTATCAGCTTTCTCCACTACCATGTTAAAGGTCAAGAGAGTACAGATACGATAGCCTTCATCACTCTGTCAACTTAGAAGACCCAGTGCCAGCTCTGCAAACACGACCTTAACAGCCTAGATATGGATTGCGATACTCCGTTTTATACATTGTGTGCAACACTGTCCACGCCACCTGCATGAGCACGTTGCTTTATCTAGCATATAATTCGCACAAGAGCACGTGCAACTGAGATGCCTGGTGAAGCCACACGCTCCCAACAGCAGCTTCGGCAGCATTGAACACTATGTGGCATTGCGCGAATGTTTGAGATCTTCGAATAGTACCTTAGAATAATACGCTATTCGATATTTGCTTCGAGATGTACCTGTGATGTTCGTATTTTTCGAAGTGTTGATTGTGGTAAGCTAGCCCCGTTGAGCGCGCTTCTCACCGAGCATTGGCGCACTGCGGGGAAGCAACATCCACGAAGCTCGCTTCCGAGGGTGTGGCTTCTCCGCAGTGCACTGGTGCTCGGTGAGAAGCGGACGCAACAGGGGTAACCCGCCGCGAGCAACAAAAAACATATAAATATCACAACTTCGCTGATGTTTGTATCTACGTTGCACTAGAATTTTGAAAATTAAACTGGCATGTATGACTATATGCAGAGATATCCTGACAACCTGCGTTAATCATACGTGATTGATGAAAAGATATTTGCATGTAGTAAGATTATTTATAAATCCCCTTGATTAGGTTTAGCTCGGCATCGCTATAGGCTTAATTTTATGTCAAATGTGTCGTTTCCTTGCCATCCCAATGTAGGCATTACTCTTTCAAAAGCCACAGTCAATAAATAGACCGTATAATACTGAGCACCCGCCAAATCAACAATAAGTGCCCAACCCTCCATGTTTTAACATTTGGAAAATGCACCAAAGGCATATATTTACATACTGGTGAAATAAGAAGAGGTTTTACAAGATTATCTTCAATCTTTGAGTGGGTGCTTGCTCTGGATTTTACGGTAGTTAGATTAAAATTAACTTAGCTTAGAAATGGCTAAGAGGGGGATTGGCAAAAACTTTCACAACTTCAGTTGGGCTTTTGCTTAAGCATATTGTAGTAGTGAAACGCTTAGAGAAACTATTCTATCTTTGATTCGAAAGCATTCGGTCAAAACCACTATTTACTTCGAACTCAAACTCCACTATTTGCACGTGACTAACACTCTGTATGAAACAAAGTATAGGAACTCACTGCTCTTCCATTCATGATTAGGATGATCTATATTCCCGGTACTAGAAGGAGGACCCTAGGAAAGAGTTTCTATTCCTTGAGATCCTTATCGCTCCTTGTCTGGGTGAGTTCATACCCACTGTCGAAACTAGGAAGAACAACTCCCCTCGAACTAGGTACTCTTACAGAGTAAGACCCCCAGGAAAGAATTCATAGGCATCGGTTTTCCTACAGCTGACCTCCTAGATGAGCCAGCGTCTTCCCTCAAAGCCAGGAAGAACCGTCACTGAGATTAGGGCTTAGACCGAACCAAGGCACCGAGAGATTGGGTTTCAAGGGTGCTGGGATTTTTAAAAGGACACTGTACTCCAAGAAGAACATTTTTTTAACTGCCCAAACAGGACATGTATGCCACAAAATAAATTTTCAGAGCAAGATTAAAACAAACTCCTATTCCGGAACGTCAGCTTCAAAATATAGGCTTGTTTTGGTTTCGCAAAATGTTTCTCATATCATTAGTAATATTGCACTTTTTTTTTGTGACATATAAGTTACATTTACACTAACAAAAAAAAAAAAAGAACTTATTGAGGAGCTAAGTGACCCTTTAAGCACGTGAAACAGCCCAAAAAGATGCCAGCCGACAACTGACCTGCGCTCAGACTCGTCCAGGTCCCTCTGGCGCTCCCTCAACTCCTGGACTTCAGCGACCAGCTCCTGCTTCTCCCTCCGGAGCGCCGCATTCTGCGTCTCCAGGGACGTCGCCCGCAGCTGGAGGTCGCTGCACTTCTCGCCGAGGGAACGCTCGCGCTCCGCCAGCAACGTTGCGTGCGTCTGCGCCTCGTCTGCCGTCGCGATAAATCGCAAAACGTCAGTGTTGTGCCTCACGTGAGTTGCAAACAATCGCATCTACGGTTGAACTCGTTGACGACGAAGCTCAAGTTGTTCATTTCAACTGAGCTTGAGGTAGAAGCGAGTAATAGTGCGGGCAAAGAGTTTGTTAGCAGCGGCGCTCCGGAGCTCACTCAAGCACACCCGCCAACGCGGCCACGGATGCAAGAGAGTGCACAAACGTTTTAGAAAGATAAAGTGATCTTGGAAAGCTCTCGGCCCACATTAGCATTAGCACGACTCAACCGGCTTGGGACATGCACTCTATGGAAGCTAGTAAACTTGTTTGTTTACGTTTTAAAGACGCAATAGGCGACACTGTAGCTTAGCCAAAAGCACCCTCCTTTCGTCTGCCACCTTTGCGAGCAAAAAGCAGGCGAAGAATCCCGGATCGCAGCTGTTCCGATAACTTCGGTGTATCCAACAAATTCACACTGTGACGCTGGTCGTGATCAGGTTGTGTGTAAAGGAACAAAACAGTTTTTGACCAAAGGTGAAACAGGCTCTTTCAAACAAGCCAAACAGGCTGTTGCACGGGAACACAGTGTACCGCAGATTTTAACATTTCTAGAACTTCTCCCTTTTTCCGGCTAAACTTCAAAAGAGTACAACCCTACTGCACTGGTTGGCAAAGATCAGGGACAGGGTGTCTAGCAAATTATTCTTTTGAAATGCTTTACAAAAGCATTTGACTACATAAATCACAATATATTACTTCGTAAACTTGATTTATATGGTATTCGCGGTTTGCCTTTATCGCTTTTGAGGTCCTATTTACACCATCGTAATCAGTATCTTTCCATTGGTAACTATTCATCTGATATCAAACCAGTTAGGTCTGGCACCCCACAGGGGAGTATACTTGGACCATTTCTTTTTAACATCTATATAAATGATATTGTCAATATAAATCCATCGGAAAAATTTGTAATATATGTTGACGACCGCAGCATATTTTTTTCCTGGCACAAACAGCGATGAACTTATCGATGTCGCCAATTCAACATTGTCTAAATTGTACGCCTGGTCACGAGACAATGGTATGAACATTAATACCGAGAAAACAAAAGCCATAATTTTTCGGCCAAACAACAAGAGTGTAATAATAATGTGAGACACTTTATTGAACTCCATCCCAATAGAAATTGTCAGCACTTTTAAAACTCTCGGAGTATTCTTCTCAGAACGAATGTCATGGGATAACCACATTGAACACATAGCCACAAAACTGTCACATGTTATATAGGACTAACACACCGTCACGGTTCTTCCCTACCCCGTTAACGTGAAACCCCGTTAACGTGAAACCCCCCGTTAACGTGAAACCATTAATATACAATGACCTGTTTCAGTCCCATTTAAATTACTGTAGCCTCGTTTGGAGTAACACGATGTTCACAAATGTGCAGAAACGATATTCATTGTAAAAAACGAATATTGAGAATTATTTGTAATGTGCCTCATAATTACCATAGTGAGGGTTTGTTTCCAAAGTTCAGAATGCTAAAAATATTTAACCTCTATGACTATAGATTATGCATCAACTTAAAACCCGAGAACAAAAAAAAATATGCGTTTCTTGTCAGACTTATCCGAGTTAGTGCCGAAAGATCACATCTATTTAATCCGACACATGGAATATTGGAAGGTTACCGGCTGTAAGACAAACTATGGTACACAAACTTTACGTTACACTATACCTAAATTGCTCAACTACCTCGCCAGCAGCAAAATTTGTTTAGACTCCATATAAACTAAAGATTTGCGTTCATTCTATTGGAACTTGTGATTCTTCATCGATGCCTACTATGTTACCCATTAACTACTTGTTTGTTTGAACTGTATAAGGTTACATTTAGGGCTACAACACTGTCTACTGTGTAGCGTTTATAATAATTCTGATGAAGTTTTTTGTCTTTCTTATGTCTATGCGTGTGTGCACTTCCTTTTTTTTTTTTTTTTTTTTGTGCTGCTGCGCCTGTCACTGTATGGCTTGTCAAGCCTCCACTGGAGGCTTTTTCCCTTGTGTCCCTCCAATTCATTTGGAAAATAAAGTTATTATTATTAAACTCCCTGACTTTTGCAGGTTTTCTCTGACAATTTAAGGTGAAATTCCCTAACCACCGTAGAAGCGGTTAAATATATAAGACCATTACAACACAAGGCATTGAGCATTGGGCACAGTGAGTATCATTTTGCACGGGCTTAATCTAACTTGCACATTCCGAAATATTCGGGTTCGTCCTGTCCGGAATAAACGAGCACTTTCTTGCCGATGACACTGTCAGTGAAGAGACCATTTCCCGAAACACGATGAAAACATGACGCTGAACCACACACGTAAATAACCGAATGGCAACATGACCGCCAGATGCACTTTCAGATACTTTCGGCTTAAGGCTTGGATTGGGGTCTGTGGCTTCCCCATTTGTTACTAGTAGCTCTAACTGAATCTAGCCTAGTGTTCCGCTCTCAATCCTATCCAATCCAATCCTTGAACTGGATTTGTCGGCTGTTCTGTTTGCATTGGGTAGTACACTCTACATCGAGTGAGTCTATACTTCTGCCCCCAAGTCCTCAAGTCTTTGCTCAGGGCACTCACTCCATTGTTGGCGTTTCCGGCTCATTTTCCCTGACTGGGCTCGCTTTTTCACAATATCCCTGACAATTCCCTGATTTTTCCCAGTAATTAAAATTTCCCCGACAATTCCCGGTTTTCCCGGTCGCTAGACACCCTGAGGGACCACAATTCATTCAATAGCTTTTTCTTCTGTCTTTTATTTTCTGTGGTTAACGTGTTAGTTTGGTAAAGAAAGGCAGGAAGCAAGTCCTTCACAATTAAATGCCCATCGCGACAAGCCTCGGGATTAGTGCGCTTAAAATCGGCAAGGTGGAAACCCTACATCACTGGAGAGAGCAAATAAACCTCGATAACAGCGACCCTGAATTCCCAGGTGAATTAAGGGGCGTGAATAAGGGCATTCCTGAGGTGCCTCAAGCATTTGCACTTCAAGTGGCCCAGGGATCCACCAATGACGACACAATGCGCAGGCCTTGCCTTCTAGCTGTATTGGATGGATTATTACGGCTGTTAATCGGGTGGTGGCTTGCGCCACCTAGCCGAACCTTTTAATAACAACAACTGGCCTTGATTAAATTTAGCATTCATTAAAACGATAAAGAATTTTCTATCGCGACATCACAGCAACTGCAGCCACCTTGCGGGTGCCGCACGAGACTTACGTGCACGCGTGTGCTCAACCGCTTAACAAATTCCTCGTACCCGGGACTGAATCCCAAGAGCACTGCTGCGGCAGACAATCTTTTTTGAGCATTTGGCCATGTCAACGACGGGCGCCCCACGCCCCGCTGCACCGACGACGTACGTCGCTTCCAGAGGTGGGAAGAGCCCGTAATGACTACCGCCGTGAAAATGAATACTTAACAGCAACGTCGGTCTTCGGTAGAAGTATGATGCCTCGAAAGCGTCTCCAACTGGTGCGTTTACCACGAGATAAACTCGGCCGTCGAGATGACGACAGCCGACGGCATGACACGCCAGCTCCCATGACGTCGTCTGCTACCGCTTCGGGACCACCTTTGACGCGCGGACGCAAAGGGATGCTGCCGTAAAATCCCGTACGAACGCCCATCCAGTTTGACAAAATAAATGGCGAGAAATATGGGGTGAGTGATCTATGAGAATCAGAGAGCAAAAGTTTTAAAAACATGTACGGCAAATTGCTAGGCGAGTGTGCTGCATACGTAAAACGATCTAGCATCACAAATATTTAGCGATACTCCGAGTTTCCAGAAGCCTACGTTCTCTGAGCTCTTCATCAAATAGTGTAATACGTACCATGTGTACACTCGACAGTTGTTCCTAGAATGAGGTGATACTACGGCTAATCGGGCCGATGAACCTGGCGATTCTCCAGAGCCTTTCTTAATCGCAAGCTCCTCTCTTTCAGTGCACACGGGTGGTAGAGCTCCTCCTTGCCTAACCCTCTGGTCACGTGACCTCCACGTTAACCAATCGGCGTCGAGCACGTCACTCCTCTCCCACCCAACAACCAATCAGTGCCGAGCCTCATGGCCACACTTTTATCCAGGCTTCACAAAATGCCGAACAACCAGCCAAAGAACATTTCAAGTTAAAAAATGACGAATAACCATTATGCCGTGCGCTATCAACCACACGGCGTGGAAATCGACACCGCAGATCGCAGACGCAGCACTTGACGTTTCGTGGTGCGATAAACACGCAGGAGCTTGCTACGAACTCACACGTCAAAAGGAACTGGCGTCGCACGTGCAGCTCACAGACTCTACAAACTCGGGATTCCATGGCACGATGAATGCGCAGGAACCTGCCCATTCATCGCGCAGGAACCTGCTCCGAGCTCACTCGTCACGTGTGCCGATACCGCACATCCGCGATCGCACGGTCGATCCGTCTTTTGGAGGGGGTATTCGTACAGGATTTTACGGCAAATACAGCAGTCGAAGACGGATTCGAGGCGCCCCGGTAGAAGCTGGACTCACTCAGGCGGTCGGTGAGGCTCTTCTCCACCCTTTCCCAGGAGGCAGACTGCACGCTGAACGTAGACTGCAGGTTCTCGATCTGCCGCAGCAGGGGACGGGTAGCTGAAACGCGGCGGAAGGACGTCGTTCGGGCAGGAACTCAAAAAAGGCAAGAAACGTCACCCGAAGCAAGTAGGGCAGGTAAACGGCTGACCTAGCATCAAAGGAACAACGAAATTCTCATTATTTCACTCTAATGACACAGTTCTTGGAACACACACTTTCTTTTATAAAAAAAATAGAAAAGCTGGAATTTTTTGCGGAAGATGGAGTTATGAGGCTTTTGAATGCTACAGTGCTGTTAATTCCATACAATCTGTAACTATGCCGATGTACTCGGGCTCAAGAGATGCTCTTGACGTCAGCACGGTTCAATGTATGGTTTCTAATGTGGAGCTGCAACGTTCGCAGAAATGGTTTGTTGTGTGGCAGCACCAGCCTGGTGCTAAACAAAGCTGCAACACCACAAACTAGCCCGACAGTTGGGAAAAAGGGGTTGTTGACATGCAGTAGTTAAAAATTCACACATGGGAGATCATCAGTCTAACCAAAATAATGTAAAAATTCATTTTAAAAAAAAATTGTGTTTGAAATACTTTTTACAACTTACCAGAAGAGAGGTTCTGAGTGATCTCCTGGTTTCGCACTTCAGCCTCCTGAAGTTGCTGGAAACACAGAAGAAAAAAAAAAGTCCTCCAAATTTATTTTTGTTCAACCTAAAATGGCTTAGAATAACAGAGGACTGCACTGGATGAAATTATACATACCGAAGATGACTCGAGACTGAATTGTTTTAACATGCAGGGCGAGCCAGTCCGGTTTGTCAGTCGCAGCTGACAATTGAGGACTCGCTTCATGCATATTGGACACACTAAAGCTGCACGTAAACATGCCCATAACTCAGCTTCACCTTGTGAACTTTTTTAATCCAGTCACATCATGTCCTCCCTCTGGTCATGAAAGAGGTCAACACTGTCTTTCTAGAGTATTCCTGTCCACAAGAACACGAAGCTACAACCTCTCACTTCGTCACAAGGTGTACTACGACATATTCAGTTAATTTTTTCAGTATACAGAACTTGCCTATAAATACAATCTTTTTTAGTGTCCGACACTTACCTGCTGCAGTTCTCGGACATTGATCCGAAGCACGTCTTCACGCCGCTCGGCGCGCTGATCCGCAACCGTAAGCGCCATCTGGAGCTCTTCGATCCGCTGCAAAAGCGTTGTGCGCTCCGCCGCTGCCTCCAGTTTCGTCTGCTCCATGGCCCTAGCCGACAGCAGACACGGACACAGTCAAAGTCAAAGTCCATAATCGCAGAAGAAGAGCCCGCAAAAAAATTCTCGGTGAAAAGGGAACGATGCCGGACACTGGTTCATTATCTTCAATTGTCCAGCGTGGAAACCAAGGCATAAAAGATGCAATAAATGCAGGTTCCACTTTCATTGCACATTCAAGTTCTCTTTCAAATGCTATACAGACACTTGGCTCCTACAGGAGCTGCATCTCTTAGCAAAATGTTGGTTACCACACTGAGGGTTTCAGGAGATTCTTTTCCAACTTTAAGAGCACGTAATACAATCTGAACACATCGTTCTCAGATTTCGCTTTGTATAACCGGCGATGAAAAAAGCCTGTAAGCGAAGCCGACAACGCAAATGGCGCTCACCTCCGAATCTCTTCCCCGGCAGCCATCTTGGCGCTCAGTGTTGCCTCCTCTGCCCTAGTCTCGCACTCCGAGTTGACGTGACGCAGCTCGGCAATTTCGCTGCAACACCAAAACGCAACACGTATTCAAAGTGTGGATGGGTACATGACTCTACGTTCCCACGTGCAATGCCATTCCCCCTAAAACGCAGTACTTTGGCACAAGTGAATCGTAATTCTTAGTATTTTCGTTTTCCTAAATTTTTGCATTCTGCACTCTTATCGTGCAGTCTGGCAACACTTCCTAGGTAAAGTAACAACATGCATTTGCGTTTAATATTTGGCGTGTTCTGTTATACAAGTTAGAAGAAAATAGGAATATCAGATACTCTTTTAAAAGGTCTTTTTTTTTTTTTTTGAATAAAAAGGCAATAAGGGTTTTTTATTTTTATAAAACAATGATAGCAGAACCTCTCTATCTTGACAAAACCTCCCCCAAGACTTTTTCGGAACAAATGGCTTACACTAGGGTTCCGTGTTTTTGGATAAATACGATAAACTATGAAAAAACACTCGCAGGTAAAGTTTTCGACAATTGAGATTCGTCCGAAAAACTCTGAATTTAAAGGTCACAATGGCAAAATTTAAAAAAAATAAAAATAAAACAAGACAATTTAACAAATAAAGTTTGTCAAAGCACAGGGCTAGTGGCCCTCAGAAAAGGCCAATTCAGTTTGTTCTTCATTTTGGACCATTGACAAAATAGTTTCCCGTTCATCTCATTAAAGTTTGTTCAATGCAATGGGCCAATGTACTTCTGGACCCTGACAAAAGCCACTGTTCCGGTTTCCAGTTTGAACTATATTATTCGTGCTTGTTAGAGGGAAGAGGGGTGGGTTGTGTTTTTCTAAAGGCCCGTTCACACTCTTGCGACCTCTTAAACCTGGGTTCCTTAGAACTCCTTAAACCAGAAAACACACTGGCGCCATCTATTGGGAAGCAGTGTAAACTCGGCGGTCCGGCATATTTTTTTTTATTTCTCGCTCATTATCCTTTTTTTACTTGGCTCGAAAAACTTTTGTCAATGTTATAAACGAGCCTTTTTATGGGTATTACGCACATTTCACCTCGGAAATCCCGCAAAACCTTCGCTCTCGTGAAATGCAGTTCCAGGGTCACCGCATAGCTGGCGCCACAATGCCAGTGTGTTCCCTCATTCTAAAAACATTTAAGAAGTTTTAAGAGATCTCGTCTCTTTCAGTCGTACTCGGTCGCAAGAGTGTGAACGGGCCTTTACAGTGAAAATGTGAACCTGTAAATTTCGTGGGATTGTGAGGGCAGCTGAGGGCTTTATGCATCCAGGAGGTTGGCTATTTCAATGTACCGACGTTTATTGAAATAAGTATTGTTTTCAAGACTTGTCGTGACACGGTTAGTATTATACTGTCAATAGAAAGGGCGGCAGTGCCAAATGCAGGTTCATAAATATATGTACCAGTGATTAATTGTATTATGAATTTACTGTGTGTTTGTGTCCTTCATTATTGATTTTTATTTAAAAAAAAATAAGAATGTAAAATTAAATTTATATTTCGGAGAATTGGGAATCTAACAAAAAATAAACACCAATAAAACAATAAATTCCAGCGATAAACAAACTAAAAAAAAACACCTTCCGAATTTAACCAGAGATAAACTCCGAAAACACAGAATTCTACTTAAATGGTCCACCGAATTGATGGCACAAGATATAAATCACCCTATATTAGAGCATATTGACATCATCTTCTGTGCTCAGCATTCAAGGTGTACAAACTGAGACCCTGTGGGTCAGAGAAACTCAGAATCACTGCAGAAATATGTATATCAACCTAAAACAAATCTATAGACCTTGAACACAAACCTGCTTATTAATGACCCAGTACAAGGGTTAGCTATGAAACTCACCTGTAAGCATTGTCCAACTTTGCCATAGCACCAGCAAGGTTCACGTGTGCATCTGCAAGGGATTCCTAAGCACAAAAGAAATGAAAAATGACCTTGAAATAACTTTCAAATAACCTTCGCTTGGTAGTTTTATACAAGCTTTATGCATGGTTGCTGCTGCTGCTGAGAACAATGTTTCCATTGCGCTTACATAAGCACAGTAACACTCAAGAATCGCACAAATATTACTGTTGCATAGCTTAAGAAATAAAAGCTTGATTTTGGCAGCAGATTACCATATTTACTCGAGTAATAGCCGCACTATTTGTGAACAAGGCCCTTGCGTCTACTTTCCCGCGGAACACATATACAGCCAATCATCGCATTGTGCATAAATAACATAGCGATTAACTAGATTGAGAACACGATTCTCCATACAAATGCAATCTTCACAGATAATATCTTCCCGCAAAGACTTTATCTCTGCCCTGTAAACTGCTGGAATCGTGCTGTCGATTGCGGTGATTGGCAATCCGCGTGCTCCATGAAAAAGCAAACCCTAGGATTTTTTCATAAACAGTGCGACTATTACTCGAGTAAATACGGTAATACCACCAATGCTCTCGATGTCAATGCCGTCATATGCAACAATTGGCTTTAAAGACAACAAATAAGAGTGACACTTTTCAATGATTATCCATTCAAACCTTAAAGAAAGAGATTATGAGATTTAAATCTTCAATAAGTAATTTTGAAAATAAGTTGCAAACAACTCACCTCCAGATCCTTGGCATCCTTTTCTAGCTGGTGATTGGACGAGGTCAGCTGTCGAATTGTATCTAGAACGAAAAGTTGACACGAAGAGAGACAGTTGTTTTAAGAATACATTGAAGCACATCAATGTGTGCTCCGATACATACACCAACTTCATATAAATAGACAGCCACGAAAAGTCGCGATTTGAAGTACAATGCAGTAAAACCTCTCTAGAGTAAAGGCTACCAATTAGTTAGGCACCAAAAAGTGGCAAGGATGAGTCCTAATTAGGTATACACATAGAACAGACATCAGCGTGTATATTAACCCACAGAAAAAATATAAACTAATCACAAGTAATCAAGAGCCTTGGAAATACACTTTGCCTGGGATTATGCTTAGTGAAAGCACTGCTAGGTAATCAAAGCTATACTTGGCTCGAGCATAACTGAGCAAAGGGTGCAAGCTACGGTCCCCATGAGCCAATTAGAAGAGTGGAGCAGAACACGTGACACGGGAGGTGTGCGGCTCGACGACACGTTGCCATGTGTCTAGTGCCGACACCTTTCTTGGCTGACAGAGGCTATGGCTTTCACAGCTTTTCAAGTTATGCACGAAGAGAGTATACGAGTAGCCAGAACCCAAAAAGTAACCTTCTAGGGAGACGTGAACTGGCAGACGACATCTTGCGTTTGGGTGTGACCAGGCAAATTGTGCCCATTTGGAACTGCTTACAACGTAAAAACACACTGGCCCATTGGCACTATTTATCAGCTAGCTTTGAGACACTCCGATCTAGGTACAGTAGCCCATCGTTATAAAGGAGTCAATGGGATGGCAGAAAAATTTGACATAAGTGGTGATCGGATAAAAGCGAGGAAGCCAGAAAAAGCAGCGACGACAGCCTGGAAGGTGGATGGGAACACCGCAAAACGCTCCAGATATATATTTAATCAAACAAATTTCGGTGATGAACATCTTGCAAAGCCTTTACTGAGGAGTAAAACAAAAAACAATGAAGTGGAGTTTGCCAATAATGTTTTTTCTGGGCATCGGTCTTCGAGTTGCTTTGGAGATCGCAAGAGCACTGTCACCGGCGCTGCACTTCACCTTGTTCCGAAGCAGCCGTAGGACATTCGCATCTCTGCGATCGTCGGCATTTGTCAAGGCGTTTCTTCGAAGACTCTTCGTCTTTAGCTTAGCCGCACGATTTAGGTGGATGCCTCTCGCGCAGATGAGTTGCAAGCGTGCGCGCGTTCCACAGTCGCATGGCGAGGCAAAGAGCGGGCGAAGAGGCAAAGACGTTGGCAGACGGGCACAGCATTTGCCACCTCCTCGCAGCTCGTGTCCCATATGCGGCCCGTAAACCGTGCAACCGCCATCGAGCACTTGGAAACAGTCTGGAATCTAGCCACCCTCCACCATGTAATTGCTCCGTTTTCCCTCTTTTTTTTTTTTTTTTTTTTTTTTTTTTTTTTTTTGCAGTTTGCTTTGGTGGCAGATGGGGAGGGAACAAAAGGGACTCCCGCTCGCCACTGCACAGGCTTGCATGCTTTTGGCACCTCGGCCTCCATAATGAGCGAGGGCGGCTGCCAACACGCCTCTTGATCCGGTTCGAAATGCCCGCATATTGGTCAGGACAGCGTTGAATAAAGCAATTTCGTTTTAAGAAGAGACTACCGTATATGTTTCCTAATTTTTCACGCGTTATTCCTTTGCCGTGGGAATAAGGTAAATTGGATGTCGTTATAAGCAACCATTTCTCACGAGAGTGGGTAGGTTAGGTCCCACAGAGAGTATGGAACCTTTAGTCTAGTTATATGTGGGTCAGAAGCGATTCTAACGTTAAGAGCCAGATGGCGCCGGCGTATTCTCTCCTCGTAAGCGGTCGTGAGTGGACTCAGTCATGCCCAAAACGCAAAACTGCAAACCAGCTCTTGGCGGAACGCCAACAGTGAAGACGCAGAGCCTTCTGGCAGACTGTCAACGGCCACTCTCGCGACATCCCAGGACACTTTTTTTTCGAGTTCCGCGACCAAAGAAAAAAAAAAGTGTCCCACCGATGTGCTTCTTTTCTTGGTCGTCTTTGGCGCTCATGGATCGCCGCAGCCGATCCAGCTCCTTGCTTTGGTCCTCCAGGCGTTCCCTGGAAGAGGAACAATGGCATGCACGCATCCTTAAATAAACCGCTCCGCTCGGTGTCGGATGGCTATCTAGGGCCGCGCCAGAGAGGAGGGAAGCTTGTATGCTTTCCATAAACATTAGCTTTCAGACCCAGAAAATCCGGATGAGGAGGAGGGAGAGAATGGAGAAAGGAATAATGAGATGGGGACTGAGAAGAGACTTTCAACCCCAGCTTGATTTCGTGTGTCGGTCTTTAGCGGGACTTCAGCTTACCCTTAATTTTAACTAGACCCTCAAACTTCACTAGCCTTCATTTAGCCCCGCTGAACCGAGGCCCACGGAAGAAAAAAAGATGTCAGATTCAAAGAAACACTGCGGACGTGCCTTTGCAGCTTACAACTGACGAAGACTGGAGCATTCGTCCCACTATACAGTTCCACATAGTACAGAGTGCAAACCTTACTTGTGCGACTTGATGACGTTCTCCATGTCTTTCTCTTTGGCCCTGAGCTTCTTGATGATGGTCGACTGCTGCAGGTGCTGCTTTGACAGCTTTTCGCCTGCAATGCGCAAAGGGAATGCTTGAAATCGGAGGACCCCAATGGCCCTCTTCCAAGCACCGGCCACGACGTCATGGGCAAAATGGCCGACGACAATGTGTCATCGGTTTGTGTCAGTTCTGGAAATATGCACCAGAGGAGGTCTATTTGCACATCGCTTATGAGTCAGTGCAAGCTCGCGGGAGAGTATATTATCATCATCATCGTAACAAGCACCCACAAACCTCCATGCTGGCTTGGACTGTGCCAAGCGATTTTACAAATGGCTTTGGCCATTTATTTGGTAGTAGAGCCGCCGACCGATTTTTTGGACTTTGTGGCGGCTAAAAAAGCGTTAAAATAGTCAGAAAAATCTGCAGATTACAAAACTTGGCTTTATTGAGCCTAAGTGGGCTTTGAAAAGTCGCGACAGTACCTTGAGTCATGTTACGCTTGCGAGCAATCATGTCCACCTGCATTTGTGTCAGTGTCATGTCTCACCCAGCGGAGGTGCAAGAAGAGGCCACGAGGTCCAAAGCATGTATCGACGCAGAGAAAAATGACGAAACAACGAGACATTTAGGCGCGAAGTTTAGAAGCTGTCAACAGCACACTACACGCTTAACGGATGGCCACTGGCACGAAAACAGAACAAAAAGTTGGTTGGAGAAGGAAAATCAACCAAAGAAAAAAAACAAGATGATGATGATGACGCACAGGAAAAACAAAATGCATAGCATAGCACGTCTAGTGGCTGGTTCAGCATCGCTAAACTAGTGCTGCCAAACTTATTTAATCCATCTCAAACATCAAGCCAAGCAAACAGTCAAGCCAGCGAAAAATCTAAGATGGCAGCCTCTCGGCAGCTGCCACTCCTAACCACTCCTAACTATTTTAGTTCGAAAAATTAAACTTTCGAACTGCAAACTGTCCAAAAAATTGGTGATTAATATGTGCTATTTTGATTGGGTGAGTCACGGTTTCTCGTCGATGTCCGAAATAACGAGCAAGTCAGAATTTTCGGTGTCCAAAAAATTGATCGGGGACTTCATGTAGTGACAACAGATACACTCACTCTCGATACACATTGCGGGGAAAGAATGTCCATTTTGAGAACGCTAAGAGCTTAAGAAAGAAACAGAGGAGAAGTGAGGTTCCAATGGCCGAGTTCGACTGGATCGTCACATTGAGCTCTCGGCACACATTTTGGTTTTGGCAACTGCCGCTTGTTTTCACATGCCCTGCTGTCTGAAGTAGGATTCATCATAAAATTCTGGGAAAAAAACTGTACACTATTACTGAACCTTTCCTTTAAATGTGAAGCATTAAATGGTGATGCAGCCCAGAAGTGGACCACACCGGCATAACGGGCACAGTTATAAGAAACTTTTACAGTAACCGACACAGAAGTAAAGGGCACCACTTGCCTTCGGACATGAGCTCAGCTATCTGTTCGTCCTTCTCCTTCAGCAGCACATCCATCTGAGATATACTGACTCTGGAAAAACATTGAAAAAAAAAAATAAACCAAAAGCTCAAAGGTTAGAACTGAAACAAAAGGTTGGAACTAACTGGCACCAGATTCTTATGCCAGTAGCCAGGAGCCTGGCCAGGCCTATCGTGCGAGTCGTAATCAGACCGACATATTCTGGGTTTGATCCCCACTGCAGCCCGTTTTGAACTGGATGGGCATCCTACAAACGTGTTCATGTAGTCACTGCTATGTGATGCAGATTAAAGACTCAAGGTTAGCACAGGCTAAATTGCCCTTCTACAGTAGAGACACTGGACGCTATACTAAGGCAGATTCATTTCACGCCGTCTAAACATTTAAAAAAAAAACATGACTTGACACTGGCAATCTATCCAATTGTGCCTACAAAAAAAGACAGCTTACTTGGTGACCGATTCCTGTTGCGCTGCCTCCAACCTGGACTTTAGTGTGTCCCTTTCCTGGCAGCAGAGAAAACCAAACACAAGCTTGAGAATACTGAAGCAAAAAGGAAGGAGGCCACTGAAATGGCTGTCAAGTGCAGAATAGCTGTGAGCGAAGCAAGAAGCAAAAAGACTGCCTGTCTCTTTGGCATATCCCCAAAACACTCATCACATGGTACCCCACTGTGTCACGTGACACCAGCAAGGGCACATCCCCACGCACTACGAGCTGGGCCTATTAATGTCTTAACCTTCTGGGTGCCAGGTTGTTGGGTTTCCTTTTCTCGAGTGCCGAACGGAGATCCTGGTCTCAGTGACACTGCGGCATGCTCCGTGAAAAATATTTATTTATAAAAGACACTGGTATTTTGTGGGCGAAAAGTTAATTGATGTCGGCATGCCTCCAAGCTACGACATATTTCTCGCGTCACACTTTTCCAGACGTGGCACAGGGTATTGTCCTTGATTATCTAGAGGGAGCGAGTACAGTGCTTGCAAGCTGTCTAGGATTAGAAGCATCAAACGAAAATATTGAAGGCAAAAAGTGGTCGCCTTTTTTTCATGCGGCTTCATTTTGTTGCATACGCTTCCGAAATACACCAACGGCTTCGAATTCCTCATCGGAGGTAATTCACAGAACGCCGTACCTGTATGGTGACGACCGTCAAAGGGTTAAAAAGAAGCCGAAGCCCTTTTCAACAAATCCAAGTAAAAAACAGACCTCCTATAGCTCTTTGCCCCGCAAGTTTGGTCATCACACTTATCTTAGCCAGAAGGAAACGCAAACCCCACTTATTTTGAAAAACACGCGCAGCGATTGCCGCCGGGCGTGCGGCAATCCTCTCCAACGCTTGTCGTCTGTCCAGAGCGTCGTGATGTCGTTGACGGCATCCCCGAGTCAGCTTAGTGGCGAACAAGAGTGACGACGTCACTTTCGCTAGTTTTTCTCTCCCACCGCGGGTGCGCCGCGACGGGCGGGTCTCCGTCAAAATATTAATCGGCTATACGACGCCCCCAACAATGAGATCAAAAGAAAACTTAAAGACGCTCCATTTTGTGCCTGCGTTACAACTCTTATGGTTTGTTCGAATTCGGGGGCCCCTTCGAAATCGAGGAATCCCCGACGCTAGACGACGAGATGGAGCCGTGGGCGTTGCAAGATTTTCTTTTGGTAGAGACAAAAACTTTGCATCTTTCTTTTATGGGCGGGAGGAGGGGTGTTGGAGCACTCTGCTCACCCTGGAGGTGTCCAGCAGCCTCGTCTCCAGCTTGGCCAACCGGTGGGTGAACTCCTGGGTGAGCCGAGAGACGTCCTGGCTCTCCTTGGAACGCAGCTCCTCCGCCTGGCGCAGAGAGCTGAGAGGGAGGAGACAGCGGGGGTCGAGCCAACGCCTCCGAAAAATAGTTGACATGCGCGCGCCGGGATTTCTATGTTGCCACGGCGAGATCGAGCGAAGGCACCGACTGGGCATGTGTGCCGCAACGGTGTTCGGCTGGGCCTATGTCCAATCGACGCGTTTAGAGACGCTCGGCGTCGGGGTCAACTGCCAAGTTGGCGCCGGCCGACTGCGACTACATTTCGTGGAGGGAGAGGACGACGTTCGCGAACCTCGATTATTGCAGGCGGTGTAGGTTCGACTAAGGTCCCTTTACACTTTCTCGTACGAGTAACAAAAACTAAAGGAGTGTTTTCTTTTAATTTTGTTTTTCTAATTAAGAAAACACCCCGGTTTTAAAACCAAATTTTTTTTTTTTGGAGTACAGCTTTTAGGTGTTTGTTTTCGGCTTGAGCGGCATCAGCGTCGGCACAATTGCACGTTGCATTATGGGACGTTTCTCATAAAGCCATGTGTGAGCAATGATGGGGAGAGGGGGAGCAGTGCCTCCGCTGTAGAGTGGGGTTTTGCGTTCATACATGAGCATTTTTTGCCGGGAAGGAACACTAGCAGCTGCTGCTGCAAGAGAAACAACAAACTAAAGAAAAAAAGTACCACCACAGAAGTCCAAAAATTTTGGCAGAGCTGTGCAGCCCTTCCATTGCAAGTTCATTTAAAAGAATGTTACTGCATTTGCTACTCAATTACATTTAAACTCAGGCGACTGCAACTTGTTTAGTTTAGAAAAAGTACCATAACTCCTACAGCTCCAAACTATGGTACCGGGTCCAATCAAGAAAATTAAGCTTTGTTTTTCGGCCCGCATAAATAAACTATGCATTGCGTAAAGCTGAAACTATGCAAGAATGCGACACTAGCGGTGGCGATAGAATGCGAAAGTTTGCGAACATGGCATTTTATGGATCGATAGATACAAAAAGGAAAATCAAATTTCTCTACAAGGCAACGTCCACCCAAGTTTTTCTTGGTTCATCAAACCAAAAAGTGACGTTGTGGGTGCGTGCAACATTTATTTCAGCAAGAAAGGAAACAATACTGTCTTTCTTACCGGCAAGTTTTCTTTCCCTAAAATGAATGCTGCGGGCACCCGCAATTTTAATTTTTTTGGTTCGACGAACATTAGGCTTAGCTGCACATCCACTCATAGAGAAATTTGTTTTTTCTTTTGTATCTTTCGATCCAGATAACGTCCCATTCTCAAATTTTCTAATTCTATCACCACCGCTAGCGTCACATTGTCGGCGAGTTTCAGCCTCCTACGAAGCGCAGTTTACTTATGTGCGCCAACAAACCTGATTTCATTTTCTCAATCAGACTTGTTAGGGAGGCAGGAGGGAACCGGCTGAGAGCAAGCGGAGACATACCTTTGGAGGGCAGCATTGCTGTCACTCATCTCTGCGATCTCCTTGCTGAGCAGGAAAACTTTCCTTTCCCGGGCATCCAGAACCCCTTGCAGTTCGTTCACTCTCTGGAGAAGAAGAGGAAAAATACGAGTTAAGTGGGACTGCACATGCCAGACACACAAGGGAAGGGCGGGGGGGGCTTGAAGATCACAAAACAACTGCAAAAGAAAGCACTTTAAGTCTTTATGGTCCAGAGTATCTCTTTGCTAAATATAAACACTCAATTTAATCTTTAGCTTTTCAAAAAAAGCAACAAGCTTGAGATCAGTCAGGGGCCTGATTTCAAGCATGGGAGAAAATATATAGGATGATTTTCTCAGCTGTTTTTTGTGTTTTTTTATTCAGTGCCATTGTCTCATGGAGGTTTTGACAATATTGAGGCAGGGGGAACCATCAAATGCTAAGTTGTCAAGTGCACATTATGAGTGGTAAGAGTAGTTGCTGTGCGGCTCTCACCCACTCATACCGTTTGACACATTCTCATCATCGACCGCAAACCCCTCTCTTATTAAACTGTGCACTTAGAGAAGCCTCCACTAAAGAGGTGGGGATGAAGGGCCCATTTGCCACAGGATAAACAATGTGTTACGGATGTCTAGATATCTTCCTGGAATTCTTCTGGAAATTCTGGATTTACGGATGCATTGTTTTTTACTGCAACATAAACTACTCAAATTGATTGGGATAGAAAGCAACAGCCCAACTGTTGAAGCCCGGGAACGTTTGACGGAGCAGCATCCAGTCAGGGACGTGACCTACTCATGCAAGTCTTGCGGTGGTTGCAGTGGTAAGTACAGACAGCTTTGACATTAATCTGACTGACTATTAACGGTCTTCAAGGTAGTAGTAGTTTCATGGGGTCAGTATAACATTCAAGACAAAGACATAAAAATATATTATTATTCCATATCTTTGTGTCAAAATACCTAATGCGAGAGTTTCATTGTCAATGATGACAAAGGCAAAGTGTAATACTTTGCATTCGTCTTCTTCCTGCCATCTTGAAGCTGCAACACTTGCAACAGTTGCAGCTTCAAGACACGGGGAAAAGTTGCTTCATGTGGAGCCGGCATTAGAAAATTAGGTTTAACCCAAGCCTGACCCATGGACTATACATAAACGAAAGGTTATACTCAGATGCCACAAACAAGTGTCAACTGTTTTAGAGGATGCTGACCTTGGAGCAGCTGACGGCGATGTTCACTGTACGAGCTCGTGCAAGTGCATGTGTGTGTACACGTGGGGATTTAAAGCGCTTTTGGTTAGTTGCCACCTGCGTTCTAAATGCGAAACATGTGTTCCCGTAACTCTCCATTGCAAAGCGACAGATGGTTTTAACTTTGACTCGGCTGCAAGCAAGAATTCAAAATAGATGAACAATTGTATCAGAGTTAACCATAACAAAAAAAGGCTTGCCATTGAAAACTTGAAGTGGTGTCTGCTAACCACATCTGTGCACGTAACAGCTGCTTCTTTTTTCTAAAAAAAAAAATAAATATAGCTTTCATTTTACTTTTCGTCTCGGTAAACACCAAACGTCGCAGCCTCGAAAATGGCTTTGTGCTACTGGCCAACTGCAGGATGCGTCTATACTCGTGTTCACCTCAAGAACTGTAGTTTAAAAGGACCGGCTCCTCGTGGAATGTTACTAATTTCCCTTTTCACGTGTTGAATTAAGATACATATATCTTAAATTACCTTCATGTTATTTTATCAAGAAATACACCTTCCAAACGATAAGAGCATCATTTGTTTCTACTGCAACCATGTCTTGTAAGAACTATTTCGTGCAGCACAAAACTTCCCCTTTTTTTTTTCTAAATTTTATGTGGCAATGAGTATAGTTAAGGGGGGACATGGATCTTTGGAGTCAAAAACTTCCTGAAACTGCATTCTTTTGAAAATGGCAATGGCTGTTGTTCTTCTGAATCTACCAGGCTTCTAACTTTGTGGATGAATATTTGAGCTATAAATCAACTTATAATGTATATTGTGAGATGTTGCTACCAACACATGTACCGATAGAGTAACCAAAGGGTTGTATCAACAGCGGCGATATCTCAAAGGAGACGTCCAACCTAGTGGCCCGCGGTCCCCACATCTCCGCGGCAATATAGACGACGTTTAGGGCTACATTACCGCGGGTCGGTTCGATTAATTACCTTGTCGGTGCCAATGATCGACTACCTTGTCTCACTCTCTCGAATATAGCGGAAGAGTAGACACACGTACCAGAGTAAGGACAGAGTCCAAGAGCATTTATTAGAACACTCTTAAAACGAACTACAATGTCCCCATCCAAAATGCCCCCCCGCGCCGGCAAGGTAAGAAAAGGTCCTTACCTGGCCAGACGCGGGGTTCCGGAGAGCCAAGACCGGGGAAGCGTCGGAGAAGTCGCCGACACACGTCCTATCTCTTTCGCGGTCACCCAGACGAGTCCCTTTCCCGAAAGCGGGAAAACAAGAGGCGAAACCTCCTCGCCTGTCAGCAGTGATCCGCAACCGAGCGGGGGAACGGAAATCGGTCCCCCCGGGAGAGAGTGAGAGGAGGGCCCCCCAAGCCAGGCGGCCCTCCGCCTCACGAACAGGTCGGAGCTCGCGGCGAAGGCGGTCGAGCATTCCGACCCGCGGCCGTTATCGCAGCCATCGGGGACGGGAGATCAGAGGAATTTCCACAATATGCGGGCTGAAAGTGCCTTGAAGTTGACTCTAAAGCATTGTTTTCACAAAACATAATTTTCGGACTCGTTGAAAATTTGCAGGTAGGATATCTCAGCATCTAGAGCAGATAGAAATATAACCTTTCCTGAAATGTGTAGCTAAATGTGTGAAGCATACAATGTTGAGAGCAAATTTTTTAATACAAGTCTAGAAAATTTTCTATTTAATATTTTGTTTTATTATTTGTTAGCCATGCATTGAGCACTGAACTTCAATGTGTGGTAAAATCACTAATAATGGGTTTATCTGAAAAGTACTTTCAAAATTGTATTCTCTACACTTCATAATAGTTGGCCATGTGTTAAAAAGGATATTTTGTCGAGCCGTTTTTTACCTACCCTTCCTCCAAACAAAGGCAGGCAAGTTCTAATTATCTTGAGGACAATTCCACTGACTGAGAATATGACCAGATATATGAAATCAGCACAAAAATCTGAACAAGCTTGTGCAGTTTCATTGGGTTTGGTTATAAATTAAGAAAAAAAAGCTCCAAGACCAGTGTTCCCCCTTAAAAGGTTGGCCTGTCAAGTCCTCTGCTTGTTAACCCAAGATAAGGGAATGAAAGTGACTTTGAGAGCAGCCACGATTGTGGCTTATAAATCTTGAACAGATAACAAAGGAAACAGTTTCTGGGGACATGGATGGCTTGCATGTGACCTCATCTCACCATGCTGGTGGCCATTCCCGCTCTTTCTCGCCGAGAAAAACGAATTGGGGGGCGGAATGCGGGTAGACCGCAGAAGGTCAGCAGAATGGCGGTCTACGTGACGTCAATGCAAGCCAGGTATGTGCCTACCGAGACGAAAGCAAAGTGAAGTGTTCCGAATATGCCAAGAGCTGAAACAAAGAGGGTTAAGGTGGCTGCCGTACTCACCGCTCTGAGCTTTTCCTCTTCAGACATGTGCTCACCAAGCCGGCTGGGGGAACTCTCTGCGCGTGAACAGAGAAGAGCATTGTTCCATTACTCGGTCTTCTCTCCAACTTGGTCCTAACACAGCTCTTGATGCAGACACACTTATACAGGCTCTTGTAACAAACTAAAGATATAACGACTACTACTATAACAAGATCATGTTACAACACACTACTGGAACAGCAAATTATGGTAACATGATCTTTTATAACGATCTATTGTTACAACTGACGGCAGTTGTATCTATTGTTACAATTAACTGCGGCCACAACATACTTCTAGGAAATTTTGGTATTTTGAAACGAGCTAACTGTATGTCAATAATCACTATTAGTCCACTTACAGCAAACTCCCAACGTAAGAAAAAAGCTTTGCAAAGCGGAAGTGGTTTTGTTATAACTAGGCTTGGATATGTACTCAGAATCATGGAAGTGCAGTGAAATGGCCAACAAACCTTCACCCAAGATTGCAACAAAATTTATGCTGTTCGGTGCAACCAGATATAGTAATAAATAAACCAGCTGATGATAGACTACCGTAATATCTTGAGAGATGGGCCTTGTAAGATCGAGAGTAAATCGGGTGAAAATGAGGAATAAACTAAATTTCAGACCACGACCGAAAAAATTTTTTAATATACCATATTTCGGTTTTGTGACCTGCCAAACTTGTTATCACACCAAAGGGCAATGAAGCAGAGGACCGTTCGACCCAGTCGGCAAAGTTTGCTTATCTCCCTAGCTAAATAACAACAAATAGACTGTGATTACCACTGGCCCAAGCACTGCAATTATTAGAAGTAAGCTGTCTTTTGGTGTTTTCTTTAAAAAAAAAAAAAAAAAAAGCAAATCATATAAAAAATAGAGGTGGATTATCTTTCGGGGATAGGGCATCTCCCGGAATATTAAGGTATTAACCCCTTAACTGGGGAGCGCGTCCGAAGACGCGCGTCAATTTTGACCGCAGCATGGGGGATGCGTCTAGACTCCATAGACACGCAGCACTTTCTTTGCTGTTGGGAAGTGCCTGTTTAAGCGCTCAGTCGTTTTAGCATGTGGGAAGGATGCGCCATCTATCCTCGTGCATCGGAAACATTTTTAGTTTTAGAAACAATGCATACAAGCCAGCGCAAAAAAGGTTGAAGACTCCTGTATGACACTCTTGACTGCATCTTAGGAAAATGGCGTCCAGCAAACACCGGCGTCCCTTAACCAACGAAACAAATTGCTGGGCTGCTGCAAAGTACTCACACGGACTCCGACTGCAATATTGATTTCTCGAGTTCAAGTGAATTATCCTCGGGATCCGACATGGAAATCAAGGATAACATAGTAAAAACATTGTTTATGGCAACACCATCAACTTTGGCGGGATCCGCTGCAACCTGGCAAGACGCCGGCATGGTGAAAGACCCATTGCGGATTGTAGGAACTGCCAGGGTGCACATTCCCCTTGATATAAATAAATTTGTTTTAGGTTTTGAAATTATTGTTATATCCTCGAGAGTTAGTAACACTTTAAGAAAACTCCCCATTTTACAAATATATTTGGTCAAAAAAGTCCTCAGTTAAGGGGTTAACGTAAGATGAATCTATGTCGATATCATCATATTCCACACAAGCCTCGCAGTTCAGACACACTCCTTCCACCTACAACCGGCAAGAGAAACCAGAAACGCAACTCGCCTGACAGGCACCTCATTGCAAGAGAACACGACCACCTACAAAATATTTCAAACACACGTGCAGAGATCTCGCATGCCAACAACAGACATAATGTGTAGTAGGATTGAATCACACGACACTCACCCAAAGCCGAGGCGAGGGGATTGTGCGAGTCTTCAACCGTTTCCGGACTCTCCGACCGCTTCTCTTCTCGCGACTCCCTACGCATCTCCCACAGGTGCCTCGCCGGCAAAACCCCACTGAACTGGTCGCAGCTCGAGCCGCCATTCGGCGAAGAGATGATCTCAATGTCGGACGACGACACAGTCTCCCCTTCCTCGTCCCCCGACGGACTGCTGGACTTCCGCGAGTCCTCCGTCTCCTCTGCCGAGATCCGCACAAATGACGCCGATGAACTCGTGTCCACGGACTGCAGGCTCCCTGCCACAGACTGCAGATCCACGTCCTCCTTCGGCGGATTTCCAGTCACCGGCGTCTTCGAGCCCGAGTCGCACAGTTCCACTTCATCTCCGGCTTTGACTTCGTCTCCGGACTCGTCCCCGAGCCGGCTGCAGACAGATTCGGACCAGCCGTCTCCGGCTCCGGATGCGTGCGGATCCTCCCGAAGCACCTTTGCTTCCTCTACCGCGGTGGTCGAGTCCACCACGACGAAGAAGTTGTGGACGCCGACTTCGTCGGACTTGTGGACCGGGGCTTCGACCTGCGTCGAGGACAATTCGGTACTTCTTCTAGACGTGGCTTCGGGAGGTTTCACGATGGCGCCGTCGACGACATCCGACCGCTCCGAAGCGACGGGTTCGGTCAGACCGCCGTCGTCCGCTGACTGTCTGGAGGGGAATCCGACGTCGGTAGCGTGTTCCGGCTCGCGGACCACAACGGCGCCGCGGTCTCTCGACTCTTTCGTCGAGTCTTGCCAGTCAGAGAACGATTCGCGGCTTTGGTTTGACGAGGAAGAGCTCCCGGGGAGGGACACGCCGAGGAGCGTGTCCGTAGATCCGTCGGACTCTGCGGACTGTTCAAGAGAGGCGTAGTTTGGGAAGTCGATGACCAGGGGGCTCTCGCTACCCGAAGCGTCGACGGCGGCGGGTTGTTCCGGGTCCGCATTTGGAACGACAGCTGCGGGAGGAAAGTAACAATCACCTGGAGTACAGTCGTAGCAGAATGTGGCCATTGACCAACCGTCATATTTTGCGCACTATAATCCAAAGACTATGCACATTTAGAAGTCGAAATCTTGCGCCGTGCAAACTATACAAGAATCTGTCTTTCTCTCAACATTCATTGTAGCCAGGCGTGACGGATGTCGTGAATTAGAGAGTATGTTAAGAATGATTTATACATAGGTGATAAATTTTTGACGATTTATGTATCCCTTGATGATTTATGTAGTCATCATCAAAATTATCTTACAACCCTCACTTTGAGGAATGATGCCATCTTTACCAGCTCACAAAGAATCTTGTATCATACACATGTGGGACAAGATTCTTTGTGAGCTAATAAAGCAGGCATAATTTGTCAAAGCGTAGTATGTATGATAATTTTTATGTGTGGACGAGCCACCCAGACTATACACCGAGGTGTAAACTACAGTCCAGAAAATATGGTAGCTGAAATTTGGTATTGGCAAAACCGCGCGCCCTCGAAAAATGTTGCGACAAAAGTTCAACGAAAACTTGGACACGTGTATGTGCTGTTGCGGGGTATTTGGAATGCGGTTGAGACGTGCATTCAGCACACAACAGCCACTGGCTGCCGATGCCGAAGCAGTCACAAAACAGGTCTCAGGTTCGCAGTTTTCTTCCTGCCTTTGCTGATGAAGGAGCCCAGTTATTAAGAAAGTTAAATGAGGTAGCAAAGGATCATAGATGAATAAAAGAGACACACGAAAGTATGAAACACGCGACATAGATTTCAGTTTTCAAAGAAATGTTCCCTTCTCTCTTCGGTGTTCCACTTTCGCTCATGTATAGCTCGATCACTAGCCCTAGTTTACTCAATCTGTAAGCTGAGTTGCCCCAACAATAAAAGACCATAGTGAAGAATGAACAAACAGATTTAAGATATAGGCCTTATAATTAGGATTCCATATAGGCCTTATAATTAGGATTCCATAGAGGCCTTATAATTAGGATTCCATGTTTTCGGAGTTTATATAATTTGTGAAATTCGGATGGTGTTCTTCCGAGTTTATTTATCGCCGGAAATTCGCCGTTTATCGGAGTTTATTTTTGTTAAATTCACAATGTCCCGAAATTTTAAGTTTCTCGTTACACTGTTATTACTTTTTTTTTTTCAAAATAAATATAAATAATTTAGGACACAAACATACTCTAGATTTATAAAAAAAATCATCAGTATCGGAAGATATTTCTGCAGCTGTATTTGGCATTGGTGCCTATGTTATTGGCAGTACTAACTGTCTAACAAGTCTTGGTAAACCAGCGTTACTTCAAAAAAATGTCGGTACTTTGAAATAGCCCAACTCCTGGACAAACAAAACCTTCAGCCCCCTTCCCCCCCCCTCCTATGAAACCTACAGGTTCCCATCTTTCACTCTTATAAAAACACAATCCCTCTTCCCTACAAGAAGCACAAATGGTACAGTGCATAAAACTAGAAACCAAAACATTGGGTTTGGTCATAGGACAGAAGTACATTGGCCCATGTTACTGAATGAACCTTGACGAGATAAATAGGAAACTGGATAAATAGGAAGTAAATAGGACGAGATAAATAGGTCAATAATCCGAGATGAAGAAAAAAACTGAATTGGCCTTTTCTCAGAGCCACTAACCCTGTGCTCTGACAAACTTTATTCGTAAAATACCATAAGTTTTGGCTATTTATTTTGTTGTTGTGACATCGGAATTCAGAGTTTTTTGGATAAATCCCAATTGTCGAAAGTTTTACTGCCGAGTGTTTTTCGGGGTTCATGCGATTTATCTGGAAACAGGGAACCATACTTGTAATATTACCATATTATGAAAAGTGTTTTTCCACCGTAATGGAGACCCCCACTACAAGGCAATTAATTGTTGCATGGGTAAAAGAGAAAGCGAAGGTAGTTTTCGGCCTGCTTGTTGAACTGAGTGCACAGCAGCTAATCTGTAATAAAGAAAACCCTGCTCCTGGTGTGATGAACTGAATAACACACTTTAAAGGAACAGCAGAGTTTGAGTAAGAGCAGCAGTTGCCTTGAAATTAAAAATATAAATTTTATTATCATTTTAAAGGGTGCTGGAATTTTAATGTTACGAGTAGTAGTGGCAAACAACAAACCGGTATCGTCCGCTACTGCAGCCTTGGTCGGCTGGGACAAGATGGCAGACGGATCAGAGAAAGGCTTGGCGACGACGGAGGCAGTCTCCAGAAAAGTGCCCCATCCAGATGCAGCCCTTGGCTCAGCTTGACTCGGCTTTGGCTCAGCTGCAGTCGGCTGTTTAGAAGTCGGCTGCTCCGAAGTCGGATGCTTCGAAGGTGACGGATTGTCGCCCAAGCCAAAGGAGAGGAAGAATGAATCCACATCTGAAAGAGAGAAGACAGTTTAGGCTTTTCCCCACGGAGTGTGTGAAAAAGCCTAGACCTCGGACAGCCACGCAAAACAACCGAAAAGCCGCAGCGAAGGGGTTACCTGTGGGCAGGGCGAAGGTTGAGGAGCCATCCTGCTGTATGTCCAACGCTCTGTCTATCGTCTTCTGCGCCGAGTTGAGCGCCGACTTGGCAAGGTTGGCAAAACCGGCAGTGTCGAACCAACTCATGGGAACCCTGCAGCGAAGAGTTACAACCTCACCTCTGGCACACCTCTGGCTTTGGCTGTAATGCCTTCCAGAATTACCGCAAGTATGGAAGCTGTAAGGTCTAAATCGTCAAAGAAGCCCACTCATGACGCCGTTCGTAAAGCATGGGGGTTATCAGCAAGTGCTAACACATAAACTTACAATTTTTTAGACCACCTGAGACTGAATGGAAGAAACAGACGTTGTCGTGTTTCTTCCACCTAGTCTCAGGTGGTCTAAAGAATGGTAAACTTGCACCAGCTCGCCTGTGCCTTAACTCTTTTTTCACACAAACTAACCTTGTCAGTCCACACGCACACAATGAGTGCTTAAGCTGGGAGGGCTATGTTATAAACTCAGACAGAGCACGACAGTTAACTCTGAAATACCTGAGGCCTGTGGGCCGTCAGTGCAAGAAGGAGAGTTTTTGTCATGTGAGCCCGGTTGGTTCTTCCAAGCGCTATATTGCCGCCTTTTCTCCCACAGTTGGCGTGGAAACTGAGGTCTAGTGTTACATTGGTTTGAACAGAAACATCTCTTATGACAGAATTTTGCCCATTTGCTCGCTGCTATTTGGCATGCAAGTGCAATGCAGTAAATCTAGTTGCCATTTGAGCAAGAAGAGAAACCGAATTGTGGTGCCAGACAGCAACGAGAGAAAAAAGTCAACACATCCACAGCATCATGTTACTGCGACCAGCCTCTTTGTAGCTGCCTGCTGGAATTGCCAATTAAACCCGGATGTCGTAAAATTACCGAGCTCCGTCAAAGACTTGCTATCTGCTCCCAGCAACACGCCATTGTTAGAAACAAGATAACAGGAAAAGAAACACCATTTTCATTTGTGGAGTAAAACTCAAGACAGCCTCCACAAACTCTGCCATTAAAGACTAATATTTTCGATATCGAACTGGCACTGATAAGACAACCGTGTACAAGATGTGACGAGTAGGCATTAAATGGGCATCGCAATGCTGGGAAGTATACAAAGAAGCTATAAAACCACCACGGAAGTACGCCTAGACTGCAATGATCAGCACTTCACAGACGATCGTAGGTTTATGGCTGGTCATCTCCGATTCATTTCGTTGAAACTTTGCCAAAATGCTGATTTAAGGAGCAGGAAGGAAAATGAAGGACAGTTTTGAACAGATTTTGGGAGGCTCTAAAACAACAAAAACAACGAGAAATACCCTCCCGCATGGGGCTGCCGATAGTGTAGACGTTGCAAGCCATTACAGGTGCGCCGAGTCGTAAACAACCTTTCCGATATTCGGTACGATTCGTCGACACTTTGCGCCACATCTCAACGCCACGTTAGGTAGGGTTGCTCCTATGCGATCGTGTGGATTATATGTGACGTTTCTCGGAGGAAATCAAGTCGGAGACGTTTCATGGTCGATTCGAAACAACGAATATTCGTTTGCACTGTGTATTCACCACAAGGAGTCTAATTGCAAAACCAATTCTTTCGGCGTTGCTTTCCAGCACTGAACCGCAGCGTTTCATAAAGATCGGAGTCTTCGGTAGTACCTGTTTGATAACCATTCCAGAGGGTAACGCGAACGTTCGAAATAAAATGATTAAAAATGGGGGGTGTTTGAAGTCGAAATTTCTCTTGGGTTGTGTTTGAGAGAATCTTCGCTATTGCGGAGGAAACACTCACTTTTGATGTCACAAACTCATCGTTTCCGAGAAGCCTCCCGTTTTTGAATCTCTGGATACTCCCAGTGGTGAAACAGAGTTTTCTCTGGGGCTTCTTTGCATCTACATGAGGGAAATTTGACGGCCACGAAAGCACAGGTGAACTTTTTTTCGCCGCAGACCAACCCAGAGGCCAGCCAGCCAGCCAGTCTGTTCGACGATGGAATTGTGGGAAGGGGGTCGGGTCCGGGGCACAGTGTTGCCGACTGTGTTTACATTCGTTTTCTTTCTGGGTTTCGGTTTTTCGTCGCGACCTTGTTTCAGACATTGAGGAGTCGGAGAAACGATAACAATTAAAATAAAAATAAAAAAGTCGTTTGTTTTATTGTTTTATGACGAAGAAGGCATGCATGCAGGCCACGCTATCGCGTCAAAACACGCTGGTTGTACAACACTTTCTGTTTCATCAGAGGTTTTAGGATCAGATTTTACCTTGTGAAATTTTAAGACGTAGCTCCGTTCTGTAAAATATTGCCGAGGCAAGTAGCAGTACTGTTCGGGTCTTTCAAATTTGCCTACGCAAAGCGCGAAAAAAACTGGCAGGTACTGAACGCGAGCATTCCAGGGATTTGCATGACCCCTCATATGCGTAGAGCATAGAAGCTTATAAGTCTTACAAGGCTGACATCTCCTCAACAGGTTGCGATGTCCCCCTTAATATTAGTATTTTGTTTGAAAAAAACAAACTAACAACAAAATGGCGGATTGACGTCATGTGACAGCACCATGGTCTCTAAAGCACTGGAATACTGTTAGTAACTAGCTGTGCCTTGAGAGACTGAAAGGCCCTAAAACGTAATCGTTTCTCTCGATACCACTAAAGTCACTGGATAGGGATACCACCAACCTCTCAACGACCCAAGCTCACAAATAAAAAAGGAATGAGCAACCGATTGACTCTCTTTAGAAGTAGTGTCAACAGTCGTTCCGTGACAGTTTCAAGCGTACAGTTGCAAATATTGCTGGGATGAAACAGTTTTTCTGCTACCTCTTCAAGAACGACATATCACTCACAAAGGATACCCCCCTGCTCTTCACTTTCTTGTTTGTAGTATAGAGTGTTAAAAAGAAATTTACACATTATTTATTTGCGGTAAAAATATTGCCGAACACGCATTTTCCTCCCGCCAAAGTTTCAGAACGAGCGAACCCGTTCTGAATAATTTCCAGTGGAATAGCGGCCGACGGAGCCGTCGAATATTCTCATTGAAATTTTCAGAAATCACATATAATAATTGAATAAGGTAACGTTTAGTTCTGAAATTTTGGCGTCTGGTTCGGACCCCTAGCGCTACATTTGGGGGGAGGCTACGCGTTCGGTGAAGCGTCGTTTGTATTTGAAAATAAAATTCCGCTTATACAGGGGGTTGTCACGAAAGGTGGACAAATTCGATATTGCGAAAACTACGCGTCGCAACAAAAGAAGGCTTATGTCGTTTTTGCCCTGGGCCAGGGTCCTATTTAAGAAAATGATTAAAGTCCAAGATAATTAGATTGTTAAATATTTTTGTGTAATTAACTTTTTCAATATTGTGTTTAAGGGCAGGGTTTCAATTAGAAAATTCCTCAGCATCATCGAAAAACACTAAATCAACGAATTGCAGAACGATAGAAGGCACGCGCAGCATTTTACAACTTTCTGAAAAACCGCTCAACTTCGACGGGTTTTTAGGTTTCGTTTTGCAATCAGAGCGCCTCTCCGCACCGACGGCACCGCGCCACGTGGAAAAATAGTGCAACCAGCCCAAGAACCAGCCTCTGCTACATTCAAGGAGGTTAGAAGTACTAGGAGGGGGCACGTTGCAATATTGGTGAAGCCTAGTCATAAAAAGTTTAAACGATGTTGTGGCCAACTGACATGTTACGTGTGAGATGGATGGTTGATTGTAGAAGGATTGCTTGTAGGCCTGCGCGCGCTCTGTTCGGTAGGTTTTATCAGATCGAAGGCTAGACTGTGGTGTATTCTAGTACCCAATAGCTAGACGAAAGCTATATACTGTCACGTGATGTGGTCACGTTGGCCTGATAAGTGGGGAGCGTAAAGAGAAAAATGAGAAAGAGGCGAGGCGTCAAGGGAGCATGGCTTGTGGAGGCTACGCGGCTGGCGTCATGCCCTCTCCTACCCTTCTATCCTCCTTGGCTGCGTTGCACGAGGACAGCGCAGCACAGGTTGGTTGCACTATTTCTCCACGGGGCGCGGGGTCGTCGGTGTCGAGATGCGCTCCGATTGCAAACCGAAACTTAAAAACTTTCGAATTTGTGCGGTTTATCAGAAAGCTGTAAAATGCTGTGCGTGCCTTCTATCGTTCTGCAATTTGTTGATTTAGTGTTTTTCGATGATGCTGAGCAATTTTGTAATTGAAACCATGCCCTTAAACGCAACATTAAAAAATTAATAACGCAAAAATAATTAACAATCTAATTATACTGGACTTTAATAACGACACAAGCCTTTTTTCGTTGCGACGAGAAGTTTTCGCAATATCGAATATGTCCAGTTTTCGTGAAACACCCTGTATATATATATATATATATATATATACCATCAAGATTGCCGTTCTTAGTAGCTGGGCACTGAAGTCATGATTGAAAAAGGTCGTTTTTCATCTTATATTGTTTAAAATGTGTTAGTTCCCACATTTACCAAGTCCTATATTACCAAACCGCCTATTCATCTCAAGGCAATAAAAAAAACATGTGGAGTCTTTTTTCTCGCTCTCTATTTTTGTGTGGACCAATGAAAGCTCTGCAATACGCGCAGATTCCGAATGATTTTATTATAACTCGTTTGAAGAGAGTCTGATAGGTACACATTCGAATAAGACTCCTTGTTTTCTCCGCGGGCGAAGCCATCGCTTGCAACTCGCCGACAAGCGCCCTTCGTCGACCACTTCACTCGGAAGAAAATTCTTCCCAAAAAGGGCGTGTCGCGATCTTTGAATATGCTTCTAACGATGAAATAAGCTACGCACGATTGTGATTTCGGTTTTGTTGGGATGCTTAGTGCGTCTAAACTGAGTTGTAGCCACAAAAGGAAGATCTCAGAATCGACTTCAGTGCCCCTTTAAAAGCTCGTTCTGAGCACGCGCTCTAAACATCGCTCTCAAATATGGCGTCCAGTGAATACCCCTTATAGTGGTGCCTACGGAATCAGCCTGTTGGCTTGATTATCCTCGACTTTGACAAAGTGAACAAGATTGTTGGGCATATGTGCCAGCCGTCTCTTCTTCTATTTTTATTTTTTAATCGTTTCTTTATTTTAGCTTTTCGCAAGCGCGAACATGTGTCACCTTGAACGGCACCACTACAGTGATGGCACCACCGTGAACGGCAGAGAAAGAGAGAGACGTTTTTATTTGATGAGGGGTTCACCCGCTATGGAGTTGTGCTCCTGAAGGCCGGTTCTCACATGCAGCGAAGCGCTGATGTAGCGCTCCTCAGGTGCCGTCAGCTACTAATCGTCTGCCATGAGCAACAGTTTTGACGGTGCGATACAAAGCTGGTGAACGCTCCCGTCAGCACGCGCTTAGCGCGAGGTCGGCGCTATGCTTGTAGCGCTCTGCTGCATGTGTGAAGAGGCCTTGAGACGGGAGGGGAAGGGTTGTGAGGAGTGAGGGGTGAGGGGGATTTTGTGATGATGGTAGTGACGGCTTAGATGAGGCAAGCCTGCTCAGAAAGTCAAATTCGGTTTTGAAGCTTCAGGGACTCGCAATTTAAAGACATTGCGCCGGAAATTTACATCCATGCATTATACATACAGCGCGCGCCCTCAAATGAAGTACGAAGAAATAGCTGGATACGAAATGCCGCCGTAGCACAGTCTAAAGCAAAAAGGTTAAAAGGGCAGAAGAAAACAAAATCGCTGCTGCCGCTGCAATGATTTTTGACGAGATCCGTTAGCATTTACGGCCGGATTGGGGGTCTACCGCAGTGAGGGCCGGAAAATAAATAAGCAAATATAAATGAGGAAACACTATATAAATATTCTTGTATAAGCATTTCAATGTCAAATTAAAAGTAAAACAAAATTGAAAAAAAAACCATCTAACTTGCAGGAATACGTATATACGTTGTGTTTAAATTGAATATTAAGCTAATTTTTTTAATAATAATAATGATTGTATTACAAATGAATAAAGTAAGTGTTAAGTCTGATTTGCCTAAGCCACATTGGGCTTGACTGGCAGTGTCTTACATTTAGTGAAACCAGCCGTATGCAAGAGGAAACATGTAAAATAAAACCCCCCCAAGGAAATTAGAATTAAAAAAAAGCAAACTAGTGAGCACTTCACAAACTAAAATTTATCAGGGCTTTCTTGAACTTGTCTTTTGTTCTTAAATTAAGAATACTGGAGGGTAGTTTGTTCAAAAATTCTGCTACATAATAACTACGAGCTCTTTTTCCAAATCTTGTCGAACATCGAGGTATCCGGTAACACACTTTAGGTCTAGCAATACGAGAAGGTACCAATAGAACTTAAAATTGACTATTCCAAAAATGACTATGAACAACAGTTTCCATTAATAGCGAGTTAAAATCAGGCAAATGCAATGTCTTTAAATATATCAATGTCCTTACCAAGGCATAAATCATAGGGAATGTGCCCTTTAACAAACAACGCAGAATCTAATTAATTCGAATTTTCCAACGGAGAGCACAATGACCATGCACGTTAGTACCGTAACGGAGCACACTGTAGACTAGATCATGCACATACAACAATTTTTCGAACGGATAGTGGCATAATATATCTAGTGTTGTATAGTATAACAAAAACATTGCACGAATTTTCTTACACAGATGAGCAAGATGAGTGCTCCAGAATAGGTGACTGTCAAAGAATAAGCCAAGATATCTTATAGAAGATGTATGCTGTATAGGCTCACATGCACATGATAAAAATTCAGACGTGTAACCGTAAAAAGGAGGTCATTAAGGGTTATTTTTACAGGATCGTGTCCGCCAGCAAATAAATGTCGACATAACACTCCGGACAGCTACAGCCATCTATGAGCAACGGCGGCAACCAGACAACCGCCTCACCGGTTGTCTGGTTGCCGCCGTAGTTCATAGATGGCGGCAGCCTTTCCAGGGATTTAGGGTGCCTACATGTCTGTCTGTCTCAGGGTGAAGACATCCATTGTTGCCCT